GACGATTTCCTTTTTTATCCAGCAATTCCAATCCTTTGTTTTCTTATATTTGTTTTTAATAATTCTTTTTTTATGTACAAACACATTTCTTTACCAATAGTCCCATGTTTTTTCGTTGCGAGGGGTTTATTTGAAAATATTCGAAATCTACTGCGTGGTTTTAAATGTATGACAGTATGCGTATGCGTGGATAGATTGAAATTTTTGAGCTTCAACAATAAAAAAAAACTTGTATTTTTTCTTTTTAAATAAAACTGATAATGAATTTAATAAAAAAAAAGACATTGTTTCTATGTTAGGCTCAAAACTTTTCAATATATATGTGCATACGTTGTACGTTACATCGAATTATCAATGAATTTATATAACGTAGTAATTTCGAAAATTTTTTCATAATTATTTATTATCGGTCTCTTTCTTTTTTATGATAAAGACTCGTTATATTTGTTTTTTATACTTATCACAAAAATAATCCTTAATTATACTCGTCGCGAATCTACCTTCTAAAAAACTCTTCGAAATTTATGCAGATTTTATATATAACAAAAAATAAAAAAAAGGTACGAATTTAAAATTACAAACTATAAATAATATACAAATATATATATATAAATATATACATAATATGTATGTATATGTTCATACGTATATGTACATGTACACGTGTATAACACGCGTGTGCGTAAAGTTTGGATACTTGTTTTAAATACAACTATAACACGACAAATCCAAATATGCATATGCATGGTATTTTATTTAAGTAATCGTATAGAAATTTCTTACATTGCTAATAAAAAATATTTAAGACATCTAAATAAAAAAAATTACTCTCTCTTTTTCTTTTTCTATTCATAATATTTATGCATTATCGAGTACAAATTACCAGCCGATAGATGAAAGTTTGATTAATAGCTTCGGGTATTTCTGTTTGTTGGGCAGCTAACGCATCTACATAGATATAACTAACGAGTCTCGAGGAATTTTGAGTGAGTTATTTAAAAATAGAATCCAAAGTAATTACCCGGTTAAGGTCTTTTTTCGAATCATTTGTAATGGGTTTGGTTTAATCTTTTTTTTCTTTTTCCACCCATATCGCGCGAGTTATTTTTATATTCGTTCGAAAATTGTGTCAAAGACTCATCAATCAAGTTAAAAGAGTATACAGCATATTTTTATATCTTTTTCATTTTTTTCCCCTTTTTTTTTTTTTTTTTTTGTATAAATATACAGCGTCGAACAAACATACTGGCGGAAATTAAATTTTTCTCTAATATCCTCTACGCGAATCTGTAAATGATTTTTTAATTTGATTTCTTCTTTTATTGGAGCACAATGAAACACAAATTTTTTTTAAATAAAAAATAAATTCATTGAAAGCTTTTCTATTTTTTATTTTTATTTTATTTTCATTGTATACGTGTTTAATCCTTGTTAGCTCAAATTGCATTTAAATTTTAGATTCGAAAATATATATTTAATAAAAAATCGTAAAGAGAATGTTGTAAAAAATAATTTATTCTGTTTCCATGTGTTTTTTTTTCAACGCTATATATTTTTTTTTATTATCGTTGACGTTGTATCTCATCATTCCGTTGTTTCTTGTATTAACTCTGTTAATGTCTCGTAAAGATTCTTCTTTGCATTATTTCGTGATATCGTCCATTTTGTATTTCTATGATCCTCTTTAAATGTGCCATTAAAAAAATACGTACGATTAAGCTACAAATGTGCAGCTCCTGGTACAAATAGATATTTTAGTTTCGTGTCTCTTATTTAAAGAGCTACAACTACGACACTCCGCTGAGACTATAAGTTTCTTTCGTTCCATTTCTGTCGTCATGTGCGCAGGAAGTCTCGCCAGCATGTGATTAGTTCACTTTTTTTTCTCACTCTTTCTCTGCCGTAAGTGCCACATGGGGATGCTCTTTATCATAAAGGGCATTAGTAATACAGGTAAGAAAATAAATAGAATCGCATACATGTGCCAGTATTCACATATGTTATACCTATACATATGCAGAGATACATTTGTATGTATTAACATCTATTTTCTTAGCAACTTTGTGATCACTAAATAATATACAGGATGTCCTTCATCTGGTGTTATAAACGAGAAGGAGGTGATTTTACATGAATAATTAATAGTAAATAGAAAATGTTGAATAAAATTTGTTTATATAAGGTCTTGTTTTTGAGAAAAATAAATTTGAAAATTTATGTGTGTGTACAAATAGTGGAATCCATCGAACTCAAACTGAATTAAATGAAAGTATATTTAATAAATTTGTATATTTATTTTTCTCAAAAACAAATTTTTATATGAACAAATTGTATTCTAAATTTTCGACTTTGTTTTTCATGTAGAATCATTCTCTTCTCACTTGTACCACCAATTATAGGATACTCTGTGTAATATATGATATTAAATAAGAGAATAACATGACATTGATTTAAATTGTTTTCATTATCACCAATAACGACCTGTCATCGATAGAAAATGAAAGTGATTATAATCTAAAATTAATCAATTTTAATTTTTAAGAATAATTATGAGAATATATAATATACACATATTTGATACGGAATGAACAGATAATTACAAATTATAAATAGACGAGTAGAATTTGATTATATTACAGTAGACGTCTAATTTTAATGTACTTCCGCAAGTTTCAGTAAATGTTGTTGAGTAAGTATGTATTAAATATATATCTAATCTAAAATATTTATGGATAAATTTGGAGATGTATACACAAAGATAAAATTTTGTTTGATATCAATTATAAAAAGTAAAATATAATAAGGTTCTTATAATTATATATATATTAGTAATTGTACGTTTCGTGTGTCACAGATATAATTCAAAGTCCACTCTGGCAGCGCTATTAAACTGATTTTGTTGGCCACTTCTTCTTACCCATGCACCTTTCTTAAAATAACCTTTCTTGGACCATTCATGCATTTGTTCAGATGTATACGGACCATGCACTTCGGCATCTTCTGCTTGCGACCACTTTAATTCCCATGTTACTTGTTCCATGTCATCATTACTTTTTTTATTTTCTATTTCTTCTGATTTTTTATCTGTTTCTAAAATATTTTATATATTTTATATATTTTAAAAATACATGTTATAATAATATTCTTAAATAAATATGTCATTTATTATATAAATATTAATCTTACCATTGTCTGTATTATGTTCACCTAACTTTGCTTTTTCTTTTACGTCAAAGTCATCCGCATACATGTCCAAATCTGCCTCCTTCTTAGATGGATGACAATGTTTCTCACGATCTTCAACCTATGACGATAGAATATGCTTGAAAAAATTATTACAGAATTAAATACAAAATATTTTACCTTTTTATTAATAAACTCATAGCTTTCTTGATATATGTCCATGTTACCAGTACGTGTTAACAGCTCATTAGCTAACTCTGTCAATTTAGTTATTTGCACAGAATTTTGATCATCCATTTCTAAACTCTTTCCTTCCTTTTTCCTCTTCCACCTTTCAGCATTCGTTAATCTCTTTTTACCTTTGCCTATAGATTTGAAATAAATATAAATTTATATAAACATTTAAAATTTTATTTTATCTAATATAAAAAAATAAAAAATAGATTTTATGAAATAATAAAATTTACCAAGTCTACATAAAGCTTTCGATACAGTTTCTCCAGGCTTTAGATATTCGAGTATTTGTTTATACAGATGAACCGGATCAAACATAATGTCTGTTTCATCATCGTCACTTTCGCTATCAGCTAGTCCATGAAATTTCTTTGTTGATTTTTGTGTAACATTTGACCCAGATCTAGGTTTTACCTATTAACATTATAAGGCTTTATAAAACAAACAAACAAAAATTAAATATTACTTTTTTCATAATAAAACAGACCTGAACCCAATCTATATTGTCTAACCAATTATCTCTTATTTGTTTCCTTTTTTTCCATAAGTAATGACCTTCTTTATCAAAATAACCTTCCTCTAATTCGTCTTTCATATTAAATGCAGTAAACCCAACTTCTGGAGCAGTAGGTCCCTCTTCGACACCTGTAACAATATTTATAATCGTTAACTTCTTTGACTTATCAAAAAATCTTCCAACACATTAAACACCACATCAATTCCAGTACATCAGTCTTAGACCTTCTGACCAGGATACATCGGTCACCAATATCTAACATTCTTGTTTTTCTATGACTGATAGATTATTATAGCTTAAATAGAAAACTCAGCAAAAGAAACTTAATGTTCAACATGTTAAATACAGATTTACATTTAAAGAAAACAACTCAACTTCAATATCATTTTCATCCATTACATTATCAGTAGTCTCTGTTTCCTGGTCCTCTTCATCCGAAGAATTTTGTAATGCTTTTTGTTCGCTCATGGTGGGTTCTACTTCTTCGAATGGACGTTTCAACATTTTTATACAGTTTACATTTATATTATCTGTAGAAAAAAGAAATAATCCAGATAATAGATATAAAAAATATCATAAGACATCAGATATTTAAATAAACGAAGTTCACTTTATTTTTAAACACATTATTCATTTACTTACACAACTTATCAATTAAAATTCCTTCGTATCTAATTAATATTCGTAACTTTTAAAGTAATAATTTCTACAGATGACTTTTATTAATAGTGATAGCTAATGTAGATATAATACATAACGTAAAATATCACATAGGTTATAGTTATTCCGTACAAAGAAGTATAATAAAGTTGGTAACGAAATAAAAATCTTGATAAAAACGATTGTTCTTTAAAATCAATGTTGCCAAGATAATAAAAAGAAAATGAATAGAAAATATTCAAAGATCGAGGTTATCGATGTCGTCTGAGCCGTCACCTGGTCGATTATACCGACGAATAATCGAGTTTGTTATCGACGTCGATTTAAGCGCCATCTGATCGAGTAGAAAGACAATTAACATCGTAGTCGATCTTTTGAACGTAGATATTCGAAATGTTAGGGACCCTAGAGGTCACCATTGAAATAAAAAGTGGGAGTAAATACGTACTACAATATATATCTACTATCGTGGATTACTACTCGACTGGTGGCAATCTAGGAATAACGACATACACGGCGTAATGCTCGATGAATTGTTTTCGCGTCCTCGTACGAGCACGATTTTCGAGACAATCGTGCGAGGTTACAGTTACGCTCGACGATGATTCAACTAGCCGGTTTGTTGTATTGTTCGCGACGCGCCATCCCGCTTGAAATTCAGTAATTATTTTACGAATGTTTTCATCCTTTGCAACATAAATTAAATACACACGGGGATAAGCGAAATAACATCGGCGGCATATAATAATGGCAGCCCATAAGACAGGAGGACAGAGTACACGTAAGAAGATACAGGTACGTTTTCTTTTATCACCTATCTCTCTTCCTCTTCATCATATTCATTTCATCTTTCTAATCCATAGATTTATTTTTATTTTTTTCATTCTTGCTCAGTTTCTTATTTGTTTTTTATTTATCTTTTGAACATCTGGCTTTTGACAATACTATATCAGGTGCGATTGGAATTTTAGTAAGGAATATAAATTATTTTTTTTCTTTACTTTATTTTAGTTTCTAACGAGACATTGATTTTAAAGTATCATACGTCCTTTCTTAATGTATATGTATATATATATATATGTGTGTATATGTATATGTATATACATATTTATATAGACACGTACACATGTATATGTCATCGTCATGTCATCATATTATATATATATATATATATATATATGTAACAACGGTGTGTGTACATAGCAGATATTACACACGGTAGCATGTAAAGGTCAGCTACCTATCAAGTTGTCTTTTCTTTTATTTATTTATTTTCTTTTCCAATTCTTTTTTAATTCCATTACTTGGAAGTTCTTAAAGAATCATATGATTGATCGTTTTTGAAAACTTCTTTCTCATCTATATATGAATTCAATTCGAATAATTAATTCTGTAATAATCTTACATTCGTTTAAATATTTATATTGAAGTAAGACAAGGTTGTTTACAGTAGCTTGTTAGGTACTTTAGTTCAACTATCGAATTATAATTCATCGATCGCCATATTGCTTGTTTGGATGAAATTTACACGCACGTATTTTAAACGACCGAAATACGGACGTGTATTTAAATTATTGTAATTTTACATTTTTATATATTAATTAATTATTTAATTTATTATTAAGATGCAATTGTGTGTGTGTGTGTGTCGAATAAAATTAATTAATATTTTAATTTAATAGCCTGTCTTTTTTCTTAATATTGTCAAGTAAATTTTAATTTTATTGAACACATGTATATCAAGTAATCATAAATATCAACAGACAATGTAAATTAAGAATTAAAGGATAAATTAAACAGAGATGATTTATTTTTAATAAATATTCAATAAAGGTATCCATGGTCATAAGAGACGAAGTAGAGAGAAGACACAGAGCTGGAGTTAATTCCTTACAATATGATCCAATTTTACATAGACTTTATTCTGCGGGCAGAGATAGTATTATAAGAATATGGAATTGCAAGAATATGAACGAACCTTATATACAGTCAATGGAACATCATACAGATTGGGTCAACGATATTGTCTTATGTTGTAGCGGAAAGACTAGTATGTATTTTCTTTCTTTTTGATAAAATCCTATACGGTTAATAAAAATTTATCTTATCGATTGAAAATGTAAATAATATTTTTTAGTTATATCTGCTAGCTCTGATACCACGGTCAAGATTTGGAACGCGCATAAAGGATTTTGCATGTCAACATTAAGAACTCATAGGGACTATGTAAAAGCATTGGCATATGCTAAAGACAGAGAACTAGTAGCTAGTGCAGGCTTAGACAAAACAATCTACCTCTGGGATGTAAATACCCTCACAGCTCTCACTGCGAGTAATAATACAGTGACGAGTAAGTGTGTTTTGCAAATTATAAATCTTAGGACAGAGCTTGCTTAAAATATAGTGATGTTGTAGCATCAACTTTGTATGGCAGCAAGGATTCGATATATAGCCTTGCTATGAATGTTACCGGAACAGCTATAGTTAGTGGAAGTACGGAAAAAGTTCTTAAAGTATGGGATCCAAGATGTTGTACAAAATTAATGAAACTGCGTGGCCATACGGACAATATTAAAGCTTTAGTGCTAAATAGAGATGGTACCAAATGCTTATCTGCAAGTTCAGATGGTACGATTAAATTATGGTCACTCGGTGAACAAAGATGTCTGCAAACTTACAGAGTACATAACGAAGGTGTTTGGGCGTTATTGGTACTTTCTATGTTATCTCTTTTAATCAGGTATTTATGAAATAAATACTTTTATAACTACTATAATTTATTTTCTCGTAGGCTACAGATACTTTTAGTCATGTAATATCAGGTGGTAGAGATAAGAGAGTTGTAATGACTGAGTTAAGCCATCCAGAGAAATCTTTTGTTATATGTGAAGAAAAAGAACCTATTCTCAAAATGGCTATGACCCCTGATCAATCTAGTATTTGGGTTGCAACTAGTGAATCTACAATTAATAATTGGGTAATCAATTCATTTGATTTACATCATTTGTAAGATAGCATTAATTTAGTAGATAAAAATTCATTAACGTACGTAATTATTTCATTTTGTTAGTCTATAAGCCAAAGAGATTGGCAAGATATTGGAGATTATTGTGACTCTGCCGGAGGAATGGCAGGAAATGTTGGTGTACCATTAAATACAGAACCGAGCCAGAGGATATCAGGAGCCCCTGCAATACGACACTGCCATATCCTAAATGATAGGAGATATGTTCTAACAAAAGATACAGATGAAAACGTAGCGTTATATGATGTGTTAAAAGCATGTAAAGTGGAAGATTTAGGTCGTGTAGATTTTGAACAGGAAATTAAAAAGAGAAATAAGATGGTTTATGTTCCAAATTGGTTTAATGTCGATCTCAAGACTGGGGTTTGTACTTTTACTCGTTACAACGATTTAGTTCTTGAAAGATGATATTAAACAGTTGTTGAAAATTATTATTTTCTTTCTTAGATGTTGAGCATCCATTTAGGACAAGATGAAAATGATTGTTTTTCTGCATGGGTTTCTGCTAAAGAAGCCGGTCTTACAGATAATAAGAGTCAAGATCAAAAAGGTATCTTATCTTATTTCGAGAGTTATAATACTTTATCTTGTGAAAGAAAAGGATATCATTAAAATTCTTTATAGTAAATTACGGAAGCCTACTTTTACAAGCACTTCTTGAACACTGGTGGCGACCAATGAACGCTGACGATGATAATAAGGGAAATGGTAATGATGGAAATGGATCAACACATGATAGTGGTAGAAATTTGTATTTCTCTGTACCTGGTCATACACCTGTTATTTTCAGGTACGTAAGATTTTTAAACGCATTTCGTTCTCCCTTAACATATCGATACAACTAATTAAAAATAAATTGTACATTTTAGCGAAGTTGGCGGTAGAACAATGTGTAGGTTACTAGTACGAGATGCCGCAGGTGAAACAGAAAGAGTATTATTAAATGACACGGTACCGTTATGGGTATCCAATATCGTAGCAAATAAAAATCTTCCACAATTCATCAAAATACCATTTTATTTAACTCCGCACGCAAGTTCCGGAGTGAAAAGTCTGAAAAAGTAACGTAAATTTTATTTACTTGAAATTGCACGTTACACACATATATACATATGATTTATCACTAATTCATTCATATTATTCTTCTTTTTTCTTCTCTTCTAAAGGGATCGTTTAATTGCAAATGATTTTATACAAATTCGAAAAGTGGCAGAACATATTTTTGATAAAGCACTTTGTGCAGGCAGTGATTCTGGTTTAGTAACTGGCGGCGGTAATTCCGTATCTGGTGGTTCTCCAGCAGGAGATAGAGCTAATACTGATTCTAATGCTGATTCATCTTCATTAGCTGAAGAAAAAGTCGAAATTTTATGTAATGATCAAGTTCTAGATCCGTCTATGGACTTGAGGACCGTAAGTTCAACAATTAAAATATCGAGTAACGTATACGAATCCTTAAAAGTTTAATTTTAAATTTGTCTCGATATTATTGTAGGTAAGGCACTTTATTTGGAAAAGTTCAGCAGATTTAACACTTCATTATCGTCCTGTCAAATAGTTAATGCTGAATACATCAAATTATGGATCCCTGAAGTGTGCCTGGTTTTGTACTGTTGTTAAGTGCGTAACTCTGATCATTTTTACTAAACGAAAGTTCTATTTTTATTGATATAAAATAATATATATTTTTACAGAATAATGGAAAATACATGGGCTACTTGTAGAGTGCAAAATCACATACCAACTTCACTTTATGAAATATTTAGCCTGTTTTCAATGGATGCTTCGTAAAGCGATGAAAACAGAGGTACCTATGGAGTACATAAGATTGAACAAGTTTATAAGGCAATAACACACGTCGAAGTATTAACAGAAATTATTAATTTTGTTTTTTTTTCCTATTTTTTCTTTTTTTTAAATATATAAAAATAATGGTCTATATCCTGTGGCTGAACTTATCCTTATGAACCAGGAGATGTAAAATTTATTTTGCGAATCATGTGCTTTCTGGAATTAGTATGCTTTTTGTACCTGGATATATTTAGAGTATTAAAAAAAAAACTTATCAGAGTCAGCCAGTTAGTGTCTTCCCATTTGAAGTGTATCACTATACAGGGTGAGTCTCTTAACATGACGACTTACTCATAAGTTATTCGTTTTACGGAAAAATGTTTTAAACAAAGGTTGTATAGTATCTAGGGGGACATACAATGCTCTAATTTATTTTTGATTATCTTACTTTGTTATTGAGATATTAGGGTCACCTTCAGTTTTTTAAATAGGATATCTAATATTTCTTTTCAAGTTCGGATAAATAATCAAATTTTGCGTAAAAAAGTATATAAAGTGAGACTTAATGTAAATAATTACTGAGATACTTTTAAATTAATAATCTTCTATTAGGAAAAATGCATTTAGTCAACGTGATTCTTAACACGACTTTGGTTACGACGGCAAGTCATATTTATAAACATGTTCCCCATTAAATGTTAGAAATCATCAATATGAAATATTGAAAAACCCATACTACATTTACGAAGTTGACCATCAACACTGATGAAATGTGAATGTTTGGTGCGACATAATTGGTCACCAGATCATTGGACCGTATTTCATGGAAAGACCACTAACAGATCAAACATACTCTATATTCTTGTCTGAAATACTGATAGGCCTATTAAAAGATGTACCATGTTTAATACATCAAATAATATAGTATCATGTTGATACCACATAGTACAACTATCTAGTACATTATGCTCTGCAATCACGGTAAGTATTAGTAGAATATTTTCTAATCATTGGATCGGACGTGCAAATAACATTGGTTGGCCAAGCTCGCTCACAAAATTAACGTCGCTCGATTATTCGATTATTATTTACTTTGAGGAACATTAAAGAATGAAGTTTATCGCGAATCACCAACGACAGCCGAAAATATGCGAGAACGTATTATTAGTGCATGATTATAATAATTACAGAAATATTAGAAAAAGTTCTTCACTCATTGATAATTCGATTACGTTAATGCATCGATTGTAATAGACAGTATTTCGAATACCACTTGAAATAAAACTTATTTTATAAATATCTCAGTAATTATTCATTTTATGTCCCACTTTGTATAATACTTTTTTACGCAAAATTTGATTATTTATTCAAATTTAACAAAACAATATTAGACATTCTATTTAAAAAACTGAAGGTGATCTTAATATCTCAATAAAAAAGTAAGATAATAGAAAACAGATTAGAGCATTATATGTCTCCCTAGATACTATGTAATTTTTATTTGTAACATTTTTTGTACCACGAATAACGAGTTATTTGAAGTAATCATGTTACGAGACTCATCCTGTATAAAAACAAATAGCAAAAGCACAATGGAGATCGAGTGCATGGCCCAGGAAATCACTGCTTACTATTGTTTCCTGGTAATGATTTTAATATTTAAAAAAGAATAACTTTAGTAACACACTTTTTAGCATATAAATTTAATATATAATCATTAATAAATATAAGAGAACAGTAATATTTTATTTGAAAAACCTTTAGTAAAATTTTTAGGTATTTATTAAAGGTATATACAGTGGGTACAAAAAAGTATTTGTACAGCTAGTTTTTGTGGTAATACGTAAACAAATGGTACATCGACAAGAATTATTTTCATTAATAGTTAATCATTTACAAATGTTAATTAAAAATGATTTACGAGTGCTTTTGAAAAAATGAACGAAAATATCAAAAAAAGTGACCCAGAAACTGGTCGAATCCATGCTAAAAAGGTTACAAGTAATTTTTTATGCTAAAAGAATACATATAAAATATATATGTAGAACTTACATATAAAATATTAATGTAGAACTTACAAAAATTATAAATTATTTATTATTTATTATAATTGCAAGTATATATGAATATTTTGTTACCCGCTGTATGTATATAAATATACACCTAATTTTGTTTTTACACGATAGATACGTTCCCGAAGAATACGTGTAAAAAGAATTCGTATAAAAAAATATATTGCATCTATGGAAAAATAGAAGATTGATTCCAGTTCTAAGAAATCAGCAAAAATAATACAATAAACCATGAGTTTTCATGTTAAGATCTTAAACATTTTATTTCATAAAGATTGCACATGTATCATACAAAGTAAATTATCATTTGAAAAGAAAAAAAACATGTCACTAATTCATGAACACAAAAATTAGACAAGATAATATGAGTTACGCATAAAAAGATTTTATTCATTGTCAAATTCCAATCCGCGTTTTTTCGCAAACTGCTGAATATATACGCCATGTTTAAAGGCTCAATAAATATTCTCATGGACTACTACAAGTGTACAAAATTTGAAAATAATCTGAGATGTGCTTCACTGACCGACTCCTTCTAACATGAGACATTTTGATTACATTTGGCCCGGCCGACTTACGTCTCTGAGGCGATATTGTAGGCTAAGGGGTTAATAAAACAAAGGTTTTAAAACTATAACTTATCATTTATTGACTTTTACGCAAAATTAATTCCTCGTTTCCAATGTCGTAGTTATAAAAATAAAGGTAAAGCAAAATTTACTTCTTAGAATTTGGGTCGATCGTGTTAAATCAAAAGAAGTTCGTGTAAAAACAGGAGAATTGGGTGTATAAAGAAAAACATTAAAACGAAAACAAAACCAAAAAAAAACTACAAATAACAAGAGCATGACAATTGTACTCCACACCTGCCTTCATATCTTACAGAATGAATTAACATAGAAAGAGAAAAGGAAATGTCAATTTACCTTTAATCAAATTATATTTGAACAGCCAAATTATACCAGTTCAATATTTCCTATCTGTAATATAGGAAATGAACTAACTTATCTGTCTTCAAGATTGCAAGATCAAATTCTGTTTTATGTATGGGACTTCCAGTTTTAATTAAACTCCTAATTGTAATAATAATAATAATAATAATAATAATAATAATAGTAATAATAATAATAATAATTTGGTTCACCTAAAATGTATACCTAATCTTAACTATATGACATACATGTTTGTTGATTAAGGGACATAAGTGTTGCAACAGAATTTGATCTTGTGGGGACTTTACTGTAATCATTAATAAACAAAAACAACAACAAAAATATATATATATATATATTAAGATACTATAATAATTATAAAAGTAACTTCTCTTCACGAAAAAAAAAATTGTGCACGCATAAGAAAGAGTAATGTGCTATTATAATCAAATCGATTTGTTACCATACGAATAAAAGCCAAGTGTATGTACATACAATTTGGCAACACAGAATTTTTACTATGATAGAGTATTCATTTTGGTTGCGCTGCTATTGAAATGATCAATCACATTTGGATAATAAAAATAAATCAACAAATTAAATAGCGGAATAATTTTTTTCGTGTAGAGTCGAGAAAGAATATTAGAGAAATAACTATCGAAAAAGAAGTATATTATGTACATTCCTAGTTATATTTAACTTGTTTTTATCTTTATATGTCAGCAATGTGTATACAAGTGCATTTCTTGTATAGACCTATATCTTCAATTTTATTGACACGTTATTCTTTCTAATTAAAAAATTGTTCATATTATTCACATTATTATTACATCATACGCAGGCAAATTCAGATGTACCTAAAGAAAAAAATAGCAGATAAGTAGTAGAAGGATAATATTATATTTCCAGTGATGAACTAACTTTTACATTGCTTCTCTTTGAAACAACATATCTTTGGTGGATTTGCAATATGTATGTTATATATTTATTTAGATCATGTATCAATTTTGCATTTATTAGTATACAGGATGTCCTATATCTGGTGATACGAGTGAATAGAGGGTGATTCTATATTTTCTATTTAGTTTTTATTGTAGAATCATCCCCTCTTCGCTTGTACCACTAGTTACAAGACATTCTATATACATTCATTATTTCTGAATGTATTACTTGGAAGCTTGATTTTAGGATGTATTAATGTACATGACATTATTAGTAAGATTATTTAATTCATTCATTCATTTTGCATATAAGAGGTCAAATAAAAATTAATAATTTACCATAGTTCGCCAAACTTTAATTAAATAAAGGGTTTAAAAAGAATAAAGATATGCATGCGAACCATTAGCATACAAATTTCCCATGATCATATATATATTAAATTAATATAAGTACAAGTACATTTTTGTGTAGAGTAATTGGCATTATCAGTACGCTTGCTTCTTCAAAATTTGATTTTATCTAAGATCTTACTCTTTCTCTTTCTCTCTCTTACTCAGGGTGCCACTATATTCAGTATACATATCTTAATGCCTAAGCTCATTAAGAACAAGTATCACTTGATCGTTAAAATTACATTGTAAAAATTTCATTTTATTTTAAATTTCTCGTAGTTTTTTTTTCTTGAAATAATTATTCTTAATTTTTTCTATATTCTCTACAAGCAAATTAAATGCTCGATTATCTTCATTAAGTATTATGTAATATTATTGGAAATATTCTTGTTCAAGTTGCAAAATGTATTTTGTCTCTCAGGAACTTATATTCATTGGTTTATTTTATCCTTATAAAGAATATCGCAAGATCTTGATTGTCGATAATGAATTATAATTTTTCTACATACATTTCTACCTTAACGGACAGGAAAATAATATATAATTAAATATCCATCGTCATAAAATCAAAATCGAAAATTTGTAATTGTATATTATAGAAGGTAATGCAAACCCACCAGATATGGAAAGTTGTGACTGCGTTGTTTAAAACAAAATACAGTTTAATAGTATGCTAATATTCACACATACACACACATTATTATTAGACATTTATTAATTATTTATATATGTTAATTACAATCATATTATTATTATTTGTTTTCTTTTAATCTTGTATGCGGTGATAATATATATATATAGCTCTAGGATATATATTATTATTATTCTTTTAAATATTGCACTTATATAGATTTAAAGTAATAATAATAATAATAATTAATATTATTATTATTTATTAAAATTTTTTTTGATAAATTTGTTTTGTTTCCTAACAAATGTATATTTCATTCTTTAATGCATTTTTTCATATTTTCTTTTTTTTTCTTTCTTCTTTTTTCCTTCTCAGTTCATATTACATTTGAAACATTTATTTGCGATTCATATAACACGGTGCAAGTAATATTTTAGAAGAAAGTTACTGTGTAGAGAGGATGTTATATATATGTATATGTAAACATAACGTATACCAAAAACATATACATACATATATATATATTACATCTATTAAAAACCATCTAAAAAAAATAACTATTATATATTAGTAAGCCTTCCTGATTAAAAAAGAAACGAAAAAAAATAATGTATATTGTTTATTCATTCAAGAATACAGTAGTAGTAAATAATGTGAGATATCAAAAACAAAACTCCTTTAATCGCAGTTCGAAAATAATGTGCATGATTTATAAATCAAATCGAATGAGTCCTCGCATCATCATCATCACACTCTGTGCGTATAGTTTTTAAAAAAGATTTAGTGAGAAAATGTTTATTATTTGTAAAGAGGGGAAAAAAAGAACAACAAGAAAGAGAATGGTTATATAAAATAGTGCCAAATTTTATACTGAAAGCAGTGTTCCTTACAGATTGCACAGATTGTTTTGCAAGATACAGAATCGAAGTGTTGTTTAATCTTTCTATATCGTCCCTTTGAAGCGAGACATTTTTGAAGTCAGATATGTGCATGTGGGTAGTAGAAAGGGATGCTGTGTAGAAATTATGAAAATATGTATAACTACGGAAACGTTAGAGTATCATCTTCTTTTCTTCTTCTTCTTCTTCTTCTTCAACAGCAGCAGCAAACTACGAATGATACTGCCTCATTTAAATAAATTTAGATAATTCATATTCAAATGAAACATTGTAATCATTATTATTTTATAATTTTATTATTATTAATAATTATTAGTATTATTAATATTATTATTAATATTATTATTATTAGTATTGTTAGTATTATTATTATTGTTATTATCAATAGTAAAATAAAAGAAATATGAAATGTACTTGCAATGATTAAATTGTACAGTATTAAAGATATAATTGATGTAAAATTTAATTGTAAATTATAAGATGAGACAGTATTAATCCTGTGCTTTACAGAGATTGTTATTTTTTTATCCATTTAATCATATACTCTGTAATAATCGCGAAAATCATCACACATATAGAAATTTATTTTGAAATAGTGTATTTAAAAAAATAAACAAAAAGATACGAGATTAAAGATAATGATATGTGAAAAAAGTCATATACTGCGAAAGAAATAATGTTGATTTCTTCATAGGTATCGCCTACTTTGTATTAACGTGATATCACTTCGGCGTATGTGTACACCATTATTAAAAATAATTCATATTTAAATAAAATATATAATTTTTTTAATACAGAATATGTGTGTAAGATGTTTTACGTAATTTCTTATGTATTTTATGTTACAATTTACACACATTTTACAGCGTATTTTAAAGAACAAAGGTACTTTTTTCTTGTATAATTTTTCACATTGAATTTGTAAAAAGATATAAAATTATTTCCTGGGATTAAATTCGTTGTAAATCTCGCCCTTGGATGGTTATTGTTATTATTTTATTCATACAAAATATTGATATTATATAATTATCGTCATTGTAAAAAAAAAAATAAAAGTAATTCGATAATATAATTTATTGATCTTCCATTCGAAGTAATTAAATTAAAATTATACAATGAAATAAAAACAAAGCATACATACGATCTCGCATTATTATACCTAATTTATTATCGCTTATTATTTACAATAATTATAACAATGGCAAAAAAGATCAGCTCAGGTAAAATTTTAATCGAAATTCAAAATCTTTAATATAACGAGGAAGATCATTCAAATTAAAAATAATATTTCTTACGTTCCGTGTTACACGTTCATAGCCAACGGGCGATATAGAACAAAGTTTCTAAATTTGTATAACTTACGAATGTAAAACAAAGACGAGGAAAGAGAAAAAAGAAAAATACACACATTGCACGATAGAGAGAAAGAAAGAAATAAAGAAAAAGAGAGAGAAAAAAGAAATATATACGAGTATTATTATACTTTGAAAAAAAAAAAAAAAATATATAATGGAATAAATATTGATTCTAAATTCCTATAATTAAACTTTTATCGTGTCGTTTAAACTACAAAATAAATTGATGCTTTTTAAAATGGAAGAAAAATAGAAAGAGAGACAGCAAAATGATATAATAAAATTGGCAGAGAAAACAATTGAAAAACGAACGAATGAAATGACGGAGAGAATGAGAGGTCAAATATGATTCTTAAAACAAATTTAACGTATCTCCGAGTATTTCGAATTTGTCGATGAATTTGAGAGAAGTAATGATCAAGAAATAAAAGAAAAGAGAGAGAAAAAAAAAGGAAATAAAGAAATTAATTGGAAAAGTTTACTCGTAGTCTTCTTCCGCAGGTCGAACTTGCGGGAATCTTCTGATCGCTTGGTGCTGTTGTGGCTGTGGTCGTCTATGTTGTAGAGGTATATTCACTTCTTCCGGGCTATGAAAAACTTGGTTCACCGGTAAACGAAATTGCGGAAGTTGGATTTGAGAACGTGGCGAGGAAGGAATGCTGTTCAATGTTGCTGATGGTTGACCGCCGACGAAAACCTGAACGGATTTGGAAAATTTTAATAATAAACAGAAACGACGATCTTCTTATAGTAAGAAAAACTATTGGGATCGTCATCCGCGCTATTTTATTTATTTATTTTCCCAAAATAACAATGACTCTTCTTATCATTCGAGTTGATTTAAGCCGAGCACGATAAACGATGTTGCAGCATAGAGTTTAATAAAAAGTGCAATAGAGTAGGCCGCAATAGTAAGCAAATTATAGAATCAAGCAAAAGAGATTATAAAAAAGATGAAGAAGCTTGAAAAAGCAAAGGAAGAGAAAGAAAGAAAGAAAGAGAAAGAGAGAAAGATAGAGTAGGAGAAAGACAACATGCACAGAGAAATCCAATCTATATTTCAACTTTATAGATAACAATAATGAACAACAACATGCGAATTATAATCACGTTGATCGTGAACAAAAATCCTCATTCATTCATTGTATTTATTTTCTTTCTTTTTTTTTTTTGTTCGTTTTTTTTTCTTTTTCTTTTTCGTGCTTTTTATTAGAAACAAGCCAGATGTTTAGACACTTCACGAAAAGAGAATCCAAATTGTAGTGGACGTCAGTGTGCTGGTATGACGAACTAAGGGGAGTCTTCAGAAATGATATGGTAACGGTACCTGCTGCAAAGGACGCCTAACAGGCGATGGTGCCGATGATGGAGTAATCTGATAATCTCCTGCTTCTCTTTCATCGGTATATATGTCAGCTGGATAATACCTCTCGCTGTATCTCAAGGTCACGTTAGGTTTCGTTTCAGCTTCAGCCAAGTTCAATGGTTTGTAAAGATACTCGTTGACAAAATGATACTGAGAACTCTTCTTGCAACTGATATCACCGCTCGGTGGCATGCAAATCAGGTGAACCTAGAACACGAACACAGTTAATGATCTTTACTTGGTGAAAAGCGAAAGGAATATAGTAGTTATCGATACGCGATCGATTACGTTTACTTCGTAAGGAAATACGAGGTGCTTTTATCCCGGAAGTTGTTCGAATAAATTGGCAGACCAGGTGCACTCCTTAAGTCGATTAGAATTTTTTAAAAGTTAAGTACCATATTCTCAAACATGTTACTAATCTAACTAGATCGTAAAGTGAAAATATGCTCGATTTACCTGATGGAAAGTAAATCCTTCTGGACAGATCCACGAATGTTTGGCATTTTCATGACAATAATGGAATACCTCGCAATGCAAATCTTCATCTGCATAATATCCTGTTTGTTTGCCAACGCAATCGAATTTACTTTGTGGGAGAAGAAGCGTTAGACGATCCGGTTCCTCTTTCTCTTCCTCGATTTCTTCGGCATTGATCTTCAAATACAAATGATTGTATTATATAAACAAATTATTAATAATCATAATAGTTTATATATAAAAATGTATAATTTACGTACCGGACCATTAGGACCAATTGGACCACCACCACGAAGAGGTCCACGTGGTGGGCCACCTCCTCCTCCTCCTACTCTTACATTCGATTGATAATCACGGGAACCATCGAGTGGCGATGGGGATGGTTTACGATACAACTTAAATACAAAATGAAGATCAACATAATTCGATCAATAGAATTTAACAATTGTAATAATAGAAACAAATTTGAAATTACAGGTTGTTGATTATTAGGATTTCTGTAAAGTGGTGCTGACGATGGAGTTGGTGTTACTGCGTTATCTTCATAACTGTTATCACGAAAACCTTGACCACCATTTAAGGCTGACGTGTAAAGTGGTCCTAAAGTTTGCTTGCCAGAAAGAGTAACAGCTCTTGTATCTAAATCGTAAGGATTTTGAGCAACCGCTGTTGCGGCTACGAACAGCAGACAAATTCGATGCATTCTGAAATATCCAACGAGAAAGTCAAGATTAATTCAACTATTATAAATGTTTATGATCGTTCTGTAATATACTGTAATTAGTATAATTGATAGATTTCATTTCTTATATTTAATGCACGCGCGCGCATAGATTTATCGTAAATACATATAAAATACTTAAGCGAAAGTAACCTTGACCATCGAAGTTTTTTCAATGATACAAAATTACGATAGATTATTAACGTTGTTTTCGTATTTGAAAAAAAAAAAAGATTTGCGAGCTTATGTTCGCGTTGCAGCGAAAGTAAGAAACTATAGTTAAACTTTTAGAAAGCCAACAACGGGTGCGCTTTATTTCGGCCAATCGACAAGATCTAAACCACCACTTTCTATCATCTCTTTCTATCTCTCTTCTTTTTTTTTTGTGTCCTTCTTTTCTTTTTATTCTTCTCTTTCTTATTTTCTCTTCCTTCATGATCCTTTTACACGTCAATGAACGAACGTTTTCTCTGTTTATGGAAATAAACTGGAAAGCTAAATGCAAAAGAGATAAAAAGCACACATAAGAGTTCGTTTGTTTTAGGCGAAAAGAGAAAACACACTTATATTATCTCGCATGAAAAATCATTAAGATTGATTGTAAACGTTTACAATTAGTACTAATATTTGTGAAGAGAGTAATTCAATGTAAAAATGAATTGATTTGAATTAATATACAAAGACACATTTGTATGAACAAACTATTACAAATTAATTTTTTGATGAAAGTAGTATACGAATTAGTAGGAATGTATAAATTAATAGGACAAGCTATGTAAATGGTCACTTTTGTTAATAAAAATCGATCAATTAATGTCAACAGTTACAAAGAGACACATATATGTATATAAATGATAGAAAATATTATTTCGTTCAATGAAAAGAGAGAATTTCAATTTCAATACATAAATCTCTTTTCGATGAAAGTTGTCAATGTATTAGAATATTTTACATGACAAAAAATGAATAGTCTCTTTTGTTAATACAAGTCAATCAATTAGAGTCAACAGTTACAAAGACACATTTGCATAGAGAAATTATGGCAATATTGTCTCGTTCAATCAAATGAGTTCGTATTTCAACTCTCACGTGAGTCCTTTTCCGATGATCGGACAGTTAAACATTTAGCCAATTATTCATTTTTATAGCGCATTTATGGTTTGCGTGGCAAACAGCTGCGTGGAAAGCGTGTTACTACTTTCTAAGCGTGCAAAACTCGGACAAGTGTTTGGTTTCACGATTCGTTAAAGATTCTTTATCTGAGACGAGATTCATTCGATCAAATAAATCCTTCCGATTATCATTTATTTAATATTACATTTGCATAATCATGATGAAAATGGTGATGATGATGATGATGATGATGATGATAAACTAATCTAAATCATTTTTAAGTTAGTTCGATAAGATCGATCTTATCATTGATTAATTACTCTCAAGTTTGCCTAATCACGATGATTATTCGATCTGTCTCAATAAATCTATCTGATTTGATCGATTTAATTTCTTTTTTTTTTTTTATTATTTAGTGTTACATTTGCATGATGATGATAGACTAACGGAAATCATTCATAGTTCGATAAGATCAATCTAATCGTTAATTAATTAGACTTCTGTTAGGCTAATCACGATGCATGTTGCATCTTTTTAATGCACCTGTTCGTTATTAAATTGAAAGTGCAACCTAAAAGTTATGACTTGTTATATAAGATTCTTTCTCTGTAGGTAGAGGATGAAAAAGGTTAAAAGTTAAATATATTTTTATCATTTTTCGTTAAATATTAAACGTGTTATTACGTAAATTGATTCCTCGAGTAGGTCCTCGTTAATAATGTTATTATAAATATAACAAGAAATCTTTAATGCATCCGATCAATTTATGAGAAAATAAATATATAATATAAAATATAAGTATGTTTTTGTCTGTGTGTGTATACAAGATGTATTGTTTATTGGATGCTTACTTTCCAAGTAAGTTCTCGTGATTATTATAATTTAAACGTGACTTTGAAAATCAGTGGTCACGATTTTCTCATTTATATTTGAACGATCGATCGATCATTTCAATTGAGTTTCCTTTAAAAAATAAAAAATGAAATAATCGAGATTGTTAACGATTTGGCTGATCGATATTAATGTTCACGACTTTTTCGTTTACATTTGATCGATACTTATAAGATGATCGATCGATCGTGAGTATTGAATTTGAATTGAAAAATTAATAATGAAATAATCAAAATTGTTTAACACGATTTTTACGATCGTTTTTAAGATTTTCACGTTTTTGTTTCATTCAAATTGTTCATCTATCGATTATTAAAATCAAGTTTTATGCAAAAATTAGGAAAACTTTTGAACGATTTTGAAGATCGATATTAGAATATTAAATGATTGTCTTGTTAATATTTAATCGATCGATATTAGAAATTTCAATTGTCCCTGGCCTGTTTGAGTTCGAAAAATAATAAAGGTAATTCTGGTTTGAAGTTGATCGTTAAGAAAAGTGGTTCGAGACTCGATGAAGTGAAAGTGAGAGGGGGCTGCGTATAAAAATCAGCTCGACAAAGAGGAAAAAAGAAAGAGAAAAAAACAAACGTGTCTGTATCGGATATCTCGAAGTCGAGTTATTCGTTGTATATATGTACTATATATTTAAGTATATATATATATATTGAAAGATATCAAAAGTACGCTTGCAACGCTTGGAAAGGACTGCGATTTTTTGGTTCTACTTCGAATGTCACGTGGAATTCAATCGTTCCGACATGATTCCTTTTCTTTCAACCTTCTTTTCTTTCTGTCTTCCTACCTTTCTGTTTTTCTTATTTCCTTCTATTTCACTCCAATTTCTTTAATCCCGTAAATCCGTCAGGATAAGAAAATTGTTCGCATATTTGTCTCCCTTTACTTTGAATTTAATTTTGATACTATTCCGTGAATCCTCGCTTAAATTTGGCGCTAGATAACTATAATAATAATAATAATAATAATAATAGTAATAGTAATAATGATAATAATTAAAAAAAAATTGAATTAGACCAACGTTATTGAGTACATAGCTTAATTTATAGCTAGATAATTATAATTAAAAAATAAATAAACGTTATTGCGTACAAATTTAATTTACGAAGCTGGATAATTGTAATGAAAGCATAGATGAAAAAGTATCCGGTAAAAAAAGTTTGATTTTAAGTTAAATAATTTTAATAAAAATATTATTAAAAAAATATTCAATACAAGTTTGTTGATTTGAAAAATCAGATAATTGTAATAAAATAATAGATGAAAATGATTAAATAACATTTTAATTTGTAACTAGATAATTGTAATGATAAAATAGTTAAGAAATTATTGTTCATGTTTCGATGATTGACGAAAACTGTGTTTTATCAGATTAAATAATTTTTGTATACATTCGACTAGCTTCTCTAATTAATGTTTTTTTACGAAAGAAGTAAAATCATAAATTTGATCATGCATATTGCATAAATATCGACTGCTTTCGCATTATATTTGCGTAGGTATGATCGAACGCGATAAGTAGAAGGAAATAAAAGAAAAAAAAAGACAAGAAAGAAATCAAATAAGTCGATTAAGATAAAGACGGTAACGTGCACAGGAATTATTTCGTAGAAAGTTTTCCGAGTCACTAATTTATATCGAACTAGTTTTGAATAGACGAAAATTTAGGGGTACTTATGGATAAATATTAAAGATATATATATATAAAATATATATATAAAGATTTTTCATTTAATACAAGATTTTAATTGTAAATCTCTTTACACGTAAGAAAAATAATAAATGCGTGTACGTACGCGCGTATAAATATGGTACATAATTTTAGTTTATGTTTTATTTTTTATTGATTTAACACCGGTAGCTGGTATTTTTATTCGTAATTAACATCCCGTCATTAGAGCAAATATTATTTGAAGTATATAGATATACTTAAATATTTACTTCCGTTCGTGATTCGTGATTTCTCTTGTAATAATGAGACAGAATCATATAAATCATTGAAACTTTCAAATCGATAAAGAATAGAATTTATCGTAGTATAAAAAGAGAAAAGAATAAATAAACAAATCCAAAAAAGACAACTCTTTCCTGTTTTCACGTAATCGCGTAAAAAAAAAAAAAAATCCTATTACTACTTACTAGATTACGTATTCGTGCTACCTAAATCGGTGCAATAGAAATTGTTCGATCTCCGATTCGCGAGATAAATTAAAATCGAATCGCACCGAGTAGCTCAAATTAATCTCGATTTTTTTTTTATCGAGATTAGAATTGTAACGCGATAGACACATTTCTTCAATTGCCTATGGTCTCATTCCTGCGGTCGTAGCTGGAGAATAAAACGTTGAAAGTTGCGCAAGTCGAACGTAATACGATGTAGTATCGTTTGGGTCAAGTATCACTGTCACTTCGATCAAGATTAAAATACTTTGGTATTCGTGTATTCATTAATTCAGAATCATCTGATTTCTTTTCTATTCAATTAGTTCTAATCCAACGGTTTTGAAATATTTGATATGTGTTTGTATAAGTCAATGATAACGAAAGCGATCTAAATCATGAAATGTTTGCATTGGTAATATATATATTTTATAATTTAAATAGATTTTCTTATATTACCTTTTATTTTTCATTACCGACATAATATAATCCGAATAATAAATACATAATAATTAAGTAATGTAAAGATTTATTCGATGAAGAAAATTGTAAATGAAATCTTTCCAAAAAAAAAAAGTATCATGTAATAAGTGGTTAGTGGTTCGAATATAAAAACACGTTCGTGTGTAAGGAGTTCATAATTAATGGTGACTATGAATATATAATAAAACAATAATATAAATAACATTTATTTAAAATAATAAATTAAAAAAATTGTTTTCTAGAATAACAGGAAGAAGAAGAAACAAAAACGGGGGGAATAAAATGTAAAACATTAATTCTTTCTCTTTCATCCTTTTATTTTTTTTTTTATTCAAATAGTTGGGATGTCTAGCAACGAGTGTACGAACAAAAAATGGTTGGGGAGTTTAAATTCGATACCTTAGAAATTTTGTTCGAAATGGAAAAAAAGAACGTGCAGATATATCAGATACGTTGGCGGTTCTTTTTAAAAACGTTCATCGGTCGAAGAAAGCAATTGCATAATATAAAAAGAGATAGTTGTCCCGCAAGTATAAATGCAGAGAACGCGGCTGTATAATATAACCCGCGTGCAGGCACACGTAACCGGCCAACCACCACCACTACCTGACTGGTTCTGGACACGCTCTTAAGGAAATCTGGAGCACACTTTATTCTTGTAATGACATTTTTCTACTAACCCTTTGCAATTCTCCACGAATTCTTTTTATCCATAGGAACTCTTTAATTGTATACAATTTTATCAATAAATATTTATATTTTCATTTAATGAAATTACTAAAATTATTCTCATTGACAGAGAGAGAGAGAGAGAGAAAGAAAAAAATGTTATTGCAATAAAAAAAAAAAGTTAAAAACATAATGGAAAATATTGAAAAATATACTAGTAAAAGTTTTAGAGTTATAATTTAAATCAAATAGAATTAAAGTAAAGTTTATTAAAATAGAAAGAAAAAAAATTTATAGAAATAATTTAGAATTAAATTGAAAAATTTATGAAAAAAACACACAAGTGTATAATAATATAATAGTAATTAAATATTTAATAGTGAAAAAGAAATAGAATGTAAAAATACTCGTGATCAAATTTATAGAACCAATGAACGAAGTAACTTATTTTTATTAAAAAATGATGAAAAAATAATGTAAAATATAATTTTGATAATGGAAAAAGAGAAATCAATTGAAAAAATACTCGCAATCGGTTAAAATCATAAATTGGTTATAATTTCTAAGAGAAATTGTTCGATAAGTCAAAATGGTTGATATATGTATGCATATAAACTGAAAGTAAATCTTTCAATTTATCACCTAGCTCTATCCACGCGTGCAAATTCGTTCCTGATTCGTAGTAATAAGAACGACCGGTTTTCACGGAGGTTTCCGTGAGCGCACGTGTCATAACTCTTGGCACACCGTGCGTGACCAAACTAATTTCATACATTTTCCAACTACGACAAAAATGTATCGTTCATTTACGATACTCGAGCGAGTCTAATTAAATGTTACAATCGTGTCGGACATTGCCCTGAAATCTTGTTCTCAGATCTCTCTATATAGATATAAAAAAAAAAAACAAATCTTTATAAATCTCGCTTGTCTTAAAAAAAAAAAATAAAAAAATAAAAAACCAATCATCTATTATATCCAATAATTGGCACGAAGTATCCCATTTTTTAAATTATCGGAGTTCACATTAAAATGGAATTTCAATGAGACACCGTCAATATCACACTACTAACATGAAAAAAACAAAAAAAATAGATCGATATAATTTTTCAACGTTTGATCAAAATTCAATAAAAATAAGACACTTCACTGTTCTCTCGTTGGAATCATCTCTCTCACGTATTCGAAGAAACTAACAAATTTTTGTATTATCTTTGTATCTTATGAATCGCCACGTTGATTGTTCTCTCCTGTAAAAAAGAAGAAAAGAAAAAAAAAAAAAAGGAAATTGAAATTTTGGGAACTTCGCTTACCTGTTGACAAACACTAAGGTAGATTGTAGGAGAGTTAACAACGAGCACGTATACCGGATTGACAACACACACGAGCTTTTATCATGAGCGGTCGGTTCGTCATTCTCTTATATAGTGCTACCCGCTGAAAGTTGCCTCCACCAGGTATAAACTCAGGATTCTCTTTTATGGTGGGGGAGAGGAGAGACACTCTAACACTGTGTTCTCCTTTATCATCGATGCACCACACGACTTTGATCCGTCAGATCGTAGATCCTGTAAGAAAACTTTAAACTAAACATAAATTAGTAACCAATTATGTTCTGATCTATCTTTAAAAAGATATAACAATTGTTATCGCGAGAATTTCTACGCGAAGAAAATATTTAACTTACGTTATTGTCTCTTGTATGTTAATGAAGACCTTTCTCGTTGGAACTCTCTGCAATTATGCGTCTCCTCCTCCGCCTCTCTGTTCTACGAACCAACTGATTATTACTTGGAATGTGTATAAAGAATATTAAAATGTGTTTGTTTTATTTTTTACTTCTAAATAAATGTTAAATTTCAAAATAAACATTTCATAATTTCGAGTGTTAAAATTATTCTTAATATAAATTAAAATAAGAATAATGTTATTGTAAGAAGATTGAAATTTTGTATCGATTAATTATAGAAAAAGATATAAGAAATCTTAATTTTTTATGATATGTATAATTATTCGAATAAATAATGTTCGATTATAATTTTCCTTTCTTCTATCAACCGGATGTGTGTTATTGGAATCGTTCGAATCTAAGCCAAAAACGTAATACTGATCGTTTAAAATCGAAGGACAAGAAATATAGTAGTATGAGTCTCTCGACATGTTACATATTTTTTTTTTTCATCGAAGAAAGTAGTCTTTATGCTTTGTTTGACCATAGACAGGAATACGCCCACATGAGTGGTCAATAATCTCTGACTCATAATACCTTTAAACAATGGAATGGGTCCGCTTCAACATCCTATTATCTGTCGCACTTTCAGTGAACATTAGTTTGCATCCTGTTAATCATATTTTAATGAGTTATTTAAAAATTCGATCAATTTTTTGTTCTTGTTTTTCTTTTTTTACTATCTGTCGATTTTTATCAACATTTTTATCTGTTTTTTTACTTACATAATTATTTATTTCCGGTTATAAGAAATATCTATTATTTTAGTAATAGTAAAAGACCTATAAAGAAAGTTTAAGCGATCCATGAATTCGCACAAATTAAAGTTCCGTAAATTATTAAAAAAAAAACAAATATTTTAGAATTTTAAATATTTATAAAAGATAAAAATAATGTTTTAATTATCTACTAGATTGGTAGAATATTATTTATCTATATTTTATTTTTAATATAATCCGAAAAAATGCGTGGTAATTATTTCATTTTCAATTTTGTACTTTTTAAGCTACAATAGATTAATTATTAGAAAAATTAAATATAAAATTTAATTTTTATATTAATATAAAATTATATATACAATATATACTTTCTCCTCTTCTAAAATAACTTTCAAAAAGTTTATTTAATTAAATATTATTGATTAGCTAATAATTATTTAGTTAAACATATAATCGTTATCAATATAATCTCGTTTTAATTGATCAAAATTGAAAAACAATAATATAAGAAAAAAAACAAAAAAAAAATAGAAAGATCCAAAAAATATAATAATATTGTTGAATATTGAAAGAAGAAGTTTGAAATGTTCGATCAATCGAGTTACGGTTGATCGGCAAGCTTATGTCATCGATGCATAACATAATATACAATATATACATATTTACGAAGACACACCCATACACATATACCCATATACACATATAAATAAGTTGTCAAGAGGCTTTCGTTCTTATTTCGATCGACGTTCGCGAGACATCGCAAGGAGACACTTCCGAGTGGAATAATCTTGAAATAAAAAGGACGTTCCGGCTTTCTAACAGGTGCCTGACGAAAATTTCCTTTCAAGTAGGCCAACGCGCGTATAAGACGACTTTAAACTTTAAGTATTTTCGTTCTTCATTAGAATTTTATTCACGTATAATATGTATGAGTAACTTACAATGTTAAGCAAATGTAAACGCGTGATTTTGTTAATCTCACAATCAAACAGACGACACACGGATTATTCTAAATCTCCTTGAACAATTTCATTTAAACGTATGCATTTCGTTACCGAGCAGGAAATGAGTGATATTTAAGCTACTGAATATATCTTGCCAGACTTCTCTCTTTGATTTAACGAAGTATATACACACACATATATACATATATACGATGTAATATGTCTCGTACGTGTTTCAACATCAGGAAAGGTACTTCAAAAATGAAATTCTACCTCTGGGCAATAAGCTCAGAGTTTCAGGAGTTGTACGCGTGATCTATATATTACGCATTCATATAGTATATATCTTACGTTATATTGAAATTCTTTGGAAATATAATTAGAAAAACTAACTTTTTGTTTTTTAATTTAACAATTTGGTTTTATTAATTTAAACAACATTTTTTTTTCAATGTGACTAATTATAAATTTATATTGATAGGTAAATGAGTATATTTTGTGTTTAATTACAGTATTATATAAATTTGTCTATTAATATTTCAGTATTACTAAATTTCTAATTAATTTTTCGACCTTTCATTAATGAACTTACGAAAAAATATTTAATGTAATTTTCAGAAAAAAAGAAAGATAATAATTAGTGAACTTTTTTTTTGAAAAAGAACAAGTGAAAACAATGACCCTCGCAGTTTGAATCAAAAGAAAGTAAGTTACACGATCCGATTCCATACGATTTCAATAAATTACGTGCTAAGCGGTGCGTTCGATTTGTCGAGGAGTGAAAAGTGATGAATCAAAAGAAGCGTAGGGGTAGAGGGGGAGAAGGAGAAGAAATAAAAGAAGTGGGAGTTGAAGAGGAGGATTTACTTTTCGATCTGGGTGAAGATCGAAGGGAAAAAAAGAAAGAGATCGAAAGTATCGCGTCGGATCAGTAATTTTCCTTTTGTTTCGTTTGTTCATTCGTTCGTTCGATTTACGGATCAACGAATCTTGATTTCACACGTCGATAAATTCTTAGGATTTTCTAAAAAAAACATTACAGGTCCTCCCAGCTAAATAAGCTCACTAACATCACTTTTGTAATCCCATTTCACATTTTCTTGTAATTATTTATTTATTTATCATTTGAAGAAAAAAGATAGGGTTGAAAATAAGAAGGAAAATTGTTCTTAATTGATTCGTTTATGGTTGGTAGTAGAACGGTTAATTGAGAGAAAATGAAAATCACGATTTCGCGGTAAATTTAATTAGTGTTTGTATTAAATAAGAAAATAAATCGTTTAATGAGAACTAAAAGAATTATTTGTGCGTTTAAATTTAAATGAACACATACGTGCACGCACGCACGCATATTAAACGTGTAGAAAAGATAAGAAAAGAAAGAAAATGAAAAAGGTTTATTCGTTATGAAAGTAAATTAATCTCCATAACGTTAATCTTACCCCTTCTCATGTGCTCATTTGCCTCTTTTCTATGCATCGTGTTCAAGAGTAACAAGTTGACCTTCTTGCAGAGATCGTATTTAAGTTTAGTCCTTGTTACTCGTGAAGATGATACTTCGTTAACAATTTCCTAATGAATGTTATCCGAAGAATTAAGGAACGAATTAATTACATTTTCGAACTTCTTAGATTAACGTCATGCACGGTCATTTTGAAATTTCTTTTAATTAGTAAGAATCCCTGAAATTTTGATTTCAATTATTTCAATGCTTTTCTTTGTGCAAAGATTTCGCTGGAGAAATGATGAATACAATTTTGTACATAAAATTTTCATTTTTATACGATTTGGACTACTATCTTAATCTTTTCGATACTACCAGAGACTATAATCATCCATCATTGGATACTCACGAAAAAATTTCACACATATTTTACAAAACAAAATTATATTCTAAATAAAAATAAAAACATTTAGAGGCAGAGGAGTAAAAAAATCAAAAAACGGCATGGAACTGATACGCGACCGTAATGAAACTTCCTAAGCTTTTTTATATGTTGATAACTTAACTAAATATGAAAAAAATTATTAATTATTTGATATTATATTTTCTTTTTATATATTTTTTAGGTAAATAAACCGAGAATAGGGAAATCTGTATAATGGGTTCTATTTCATTCTCTCCCTACCCCTTTTAAATATAATTTCATAAAATTTTATCGCTACACCCGCCTAAGAAGTTTCACTTCAAAAATTGAAATTGGTAGATTACTTAACGAACTTTCCCACATTCAGAGGTCAGGGACTCTTTTAAAAGCATTTCCTCGAACTCGTCGACTCGTTATAATTCAGTAAGAGGAGTGGTCCACATAGAAAGAATGAAAGAATGGAAGAATGAAAGAATAAAAGAAACATTCGGTTGGTAGGTCTACTACACGTCTCTCTGTGTAAACCCGAACGCGTAAGAAACACTTTCACCGACACCGACGTTCGGCCTCATAAGAGAAAGTTCCAACGCCCCTCTGTTACGCCCCTGTGCTACACAAATCAACCGTAAAGAGGAAAATACGGTGAGAAAAAAACAAGAAAATAGAAGGTGATCTTTTGACCGAGAACGAAAGGACGTTGTCCAAGGACGATTAGATTGTCCGTCCCCCTTCAATTGAACCAATTCTAAATTAGCCCGCCATATTTTTATTTTTTTTACAAATAAATTTTAATTTGTATTCCTAAATTACGCGATTTTATATACATCTTCTTTGTTTTACAGATCACAAGTTACATATTTTATAAAATAGAATGATTAAATAATACATTTTTTTAGAGACTCCGATGTGATTTTATACAATATTTTCAACAATTTTAATTTCATCGTTATGCTACGTACCAGCACATATACGACGCCACTTTGCAAAGATAACTATTATTTACGAACTTAAATTCGTCGATTTTCAAATAAAAAATTTATATCTTTTATTATTGCAAAAGAAATAAGATAAATTCTTTAGTAAACTGACTGTGAGAGATTTTATTTGAGAGACCTTCAAGAAAGATTGCAGTTGATGTTCTTTTGCGATCACGTAACATACCAACAGGTAGATTTATTTCGCCATTTTTTAAACATAACAATTATCTTGAAACATTGTCATTTGTAAATAGTTAGTTAATCTCATCGCCGTTTTGGCAACCTTTTTTCTACGCAATATTTTTAAGTAGCTCTCTTGCTATTAATAGATGCATTAATAATAATACAATGACATCAACTTTTTTTTAACAAAATTCTTACAATTCGTAATAAATTTCAATCTACATACACATAATGCGATAAGTTAGATCATTTTGTTTTTTTCGACTTGTTATGCGGAAAAAGTCACATTTTCTGGTTATTATGAACTCATTAACATATGCAAAACATGTCTATTATATAATCAAAGTCGCGTAGTACGATTAAATAATTTCTCTTTTGTAACTTGAATAAATTGATACTGATATTATAAATGTAAATGTATATAGGTTTATCCGTTTTAATTATAAGTATGTATTTTTATATACATAATATATAGTATATATAATATTATATACGCGCGTTTATTATGTATTATAAGTATAAATAATTTTATATTATACAGGGTGGGTCAAAAGTTATTAGATGATTTTTACCTATTTATTTATTATAGCTTTTTTGGTCTGCATATACAATTTATATTTGTGTGTAATTCTATTTTAAAAATATATATCTACGTTTTGTAACAAAACTCATCAATGCACAAAGGACACATGGGTGGGTTGAAAATTTTAAGTCACTTTTATTTAAAAAAAGAATAAGTATATTTTGGAGGCTTAAAACTAGTCAACCCACCCTCATACATACACAGTTGTATAATTGAATTAAATTATGAAAAAATGTTTAGAATAATCCAATATTTTATTATTCAAATTTATTGATATTGACAAAATTTAATCGCCTTAAAATTTTTAGATTACTTAGGAACTTTTAACCCATCCTATATATAATGTAATATTATATGTGTATAATGATTTGTAATATATTTTACATGACGATTGCAAAAACAAGGATAAACATATGTATCTAATTTAGATAAATTGAAACAAATCTAACTACGAGATTTAACTTGTTTGTTTATAAATTAAATTTGTTTCAACTTGATAGTATTTTATATTACATATCGTTTTACAAAACTGAACAGGACCAAACCAGGTATGCAACGAGATAACTCGCTACTATTTATCCATTTACGTTGTTGGCAATGGCAACGTAACTTTACAGGAAATGCCTTGCTAATCGTAAAGGGGAAAATTCTCTCCAGAGTTAGCGGTGAACGTACATGTATACAATATTGTTTTTTTTTTTGTCTTTTTTCTTATAGCTATAACGAAACGTTACTCTAGATATAGTATAAACATAAAAAAAGCTTAAAGCGATTATAAAAATACGAATACGAGTTTTAACAGGTTGCAGAGTGAAACTTATGTACGTGGATTTTTATATCTTTTTGATGTGTAACATCTTTCCGCTCAGTATATATCTGGGAGTGTATATCTTCTATAATAAATAAAACATATTCTATAGATACAAAAAGAAAGACCATAGAGCAGATAAATAATGATATAATCACATATATGTACATCGTTAATTATATACACGGTAATAGATATAAATATGTGTTCAATATTATTCTTAAAATTATGACAAGTTTATTTTTATTGTATTATATTCATATTTTTATTTTTCACTGTTGTGTAGATTCTATTTATGCTCTGTTCTTTACGTATAAAAATTAATTACGTAATATAAAAAAAAATCAGCTAAAAGTAAAAAATATTTATAAAGAGAGAGAGAATTTATATACATACATATATAAACTTATAGTTATATATGTTACTATAATTATATATATGTATATGTTTTCCTTCTTTCGTTAATCTTAAGTAATGATTAAATATTTTCTATAGATTTAGATGTATTTACATTGATTCATTTCTCAACTTTCTTATTCTTGATTTTTCTTATTAATTTTGTATGTATATAGCAATACAAAAAGAATTGTGACAAATAGAAAAATATCTAGTAATGATATTCCTAATTTTGGATGTGACACATCGCATGTATGATTCATTATACTTACATCAAGGTAAAATAATGATAAAAATATTCATATTTCTATATTAACAGAGAGTAAAACTTAATGTAAATATTTAATTAACTATTAACAAATAATAATTAAGGATTAAAAAATTACTCATTCGTTCTTACTAAATGTGGTTCTAACAGAATAAAAATATTATGTTTATGAACAATATAAATCATCATTTCTTCGAAAACAATCTAATTGTTATTAACTATATTGACAATAAAATGAAAATCTTTCTTCATATTTTATTTCCAAAGTCCGTTATGTAATCAACAATTGTTAATTCATTTTTTAATTTTTCATATCTTAAAAATATCTAGTTTTGCTATATCCAATGGATCGTACTATATTTCAATTCCATGATTTTTCATCTACATAACGAATTTTGCAAATGGACGACTTAAATTTGTTGTATTAGTGATGTAATTTTAATGTTTTTCTTAATGTATTTACCGCACGGCAGTTCTTTTGTATTTTTTTTTCTTAGCACATGACAGTCCATAGTGGAACTTAGGCCTACTAAGTGTTCACTGACCAGTCCCGAGAATTTACATTTTTAGTGGGATGATTATTTTTTGTGATTATTAGGATCAGAAAACTTTTGAATTAATTATGCTCAAAAAACTCTGAATCAATATTAATTACAGACCCACTAATTCTTGAAAAGAATATCAAGAAAAACAGTAGCCAGAATTAAAATCTAGATCTTTCCGGTGAGAAGTAGCGATGATAACCAGTACACTACAAAGGAGGTCACCGTACGGCAGTGTATTAAACAAACATATCACAATAATTGTATAGATGTTATCTCACTCACTATTGTAGATGTAATAACAGTACCTAGAATATATTTTACTATAATAGATAAATGTATAATATATAAGTGCTATTATACATTTATATTTATATCCTAATCTTTCGATGCTTTTGGTCATGTAGTTTCCGAAACTTTTTTAGATCTAATTACTTTCTTATGTTTAACCGTTTCTGGTGAGATGTCTTCCAAAATTGACGAATCTTTTAACTTCTTTCCTCGACCTACGTTTCTTTCTTCATTTTCAGAACCAATCGATTCTCTATTAGATCTTCTTCTTTGACGTTGTGGTACTTGATTTTGCGACATTAATGTTTCACGCAAATGTTTTCGTTTGGCCTCCCACAACATTTCTTGCCTTTGTGCTATTTCTGGATATCTGTATTTAAATAATATATGTATGTATACATATGCTATTGTATTGAAACTTTACATGTAATAGTATAAAATTGAAATAAAGATTATACTTTTTGTAAAAATCCATATTTGGTGATATTGGCAAATGCCATCCTTTTTTTGGCACCTGTACAGCTATGTCAGTAAATATCTCGTTTATTTCGATGGAAGGAATTTTAATAACGGTTGATACAGTCTTTCGATCAAGGTATTGTTGTTCAGTAAACAATAATAACTGAAACATATATATATATATATATATTAAATTAGATTTAACAAGTTAAGCGCCAAGCCTGTTTTGTTGAGCTTTCCATTTATGCCACAATAATCTGTCAGTTATAAAAAAACATTAGAATGCCAACCATTGGTGACCGACGCAGCCTGAACAAAAAGTCTTAAGCTGGTCTTTAAGAACCGACGTGGCGTTTAATGTTTTAAGAAATATTATGAGCAGATGTTTTTTTGGATTAATTGATATTTTTTATTAACATTTGTGATACATACGATGTAATCTCTAGCCTTACACATGAGATCTGCTGGTATACCACTCTTAGACGATTCACTATCTTTAGTATAAATAAGTTCACTATTTACAATCCAGTTTCCTTGCACTAGAACAGCTAACTGCTGTAAATATTTTAATATAGATGCAGTATCGTGTTCTGGTAATATAAGCAATCGTATCGCTGTGAACGACACCACCTTCACTGGAAATAATAATACATTGAGATAATTATTATAAATCAAATTGTTCATATGGAATAATATTATTTTTTCTTACATACTATGTTTAACATGAGTCCTGACTTGATCGAGAAGCGGTAATGTTTTAATATAATCAAGGGACAGGGAATGATTTTTGATATTTTGGATATTTTGGATACTTTGTTCTTGACTATTAGATGGCACTAAAAGTTCTAAATATTGCTTATTTGTAAGATCCAATGAATTGATACTTTCTTCGGTCGATGGGCAAAACATTTCCAAACGTGCAAGCTATAAAAAATAAAAAAAATATTGTTTAAAAATTTTAAGCGTTTAGCAATAGATACATTGGAAAAAAATTAATCAATGGTTATACACACATCGGCTTGTGTACTGTTTACCGGAACATAGTTTGTGTGTATCCATTTTTCTGCTAAACTTATTTTTGAAAAGGTTTGAAAGGATTGTTCCTGCATTTTTTTAACAAAATCTGATTTTTCTCTATCAAAAGTAACACTAACTTGTTTAGGGCCTTCATCTTCTTCTTCGGTATCTATATTATTAATAATATATATATTAATATAAATTAAACGTATATAAATAAAGATTAAATATTTGTATTTACCTTCGTCATTAACTTTAGTTTCTTCTCTAACACGTTTATCACTCTTATCGAGATAATTAAATTGTGGCCTTAATTGGACAATACTTTTAATTGGAGTGATATGTAGCTCACCATCCTGGTAAACAGTTGCCGCATAATTTGTGGCTTCTGGTAATGTACGAGAAGAATGCAAAGTAATCTTATCCATCAGATCGCTAAAAGTAATTGCTTATTATAAAGACCAAATCTTAGCAAATATATTTTTATAAATCTTAGAGGAACTCTATACATAGGATGTTCTGTAATTGGTAATACAAGCGAACAGCTACATGAAAAACTACGTGAACTCTACATGAAAAATTAAGTAGAAAATGTGGAATACAATTTGTTCATATAAAGTTTTGTTTTTGAAGAAAAATAAATTTGAAAATTTTTTAAGCACACGTGTATTTAACTGAGTTTGCCTTCCTAGAAATTAAAAGCCTTGTTCGATAAGATAGTAAAATCCATCGAATTAAAACTGAATCAAATGTGTGTGTGTGTGTGTGTGTGTGTGCACGCATATGATTGATAAATTTTATTCTACATTTTTTACTCAGTTTTATACGTAAAATCACCTCGTGTTTGCTTGTATCATTATATTTCCTTCGTAATACCAGAAATTCTATAAATACCTGTCAAAAATTTTGGCGTCGTCTTCTTCATCAAATTTAGAATTACCATCGGCATTAATAGCAATTTGTCTTCCTTTCATTTGATCATAATTAATACTATACGTATCGTAAGCTATTTCTAATCTGACCTCTGTATTTTCTGGTTTTATAGAAGAATTCAAAAATGTTGCATCATCATATCCTTGTTCAGCAGGACGTGTAGGATATTGGAAGATGAATAATTTATTCTCAAGAGTTTTAGATAAAAATATTGGAATCTAAAAAATATCCAATATTTAATATATAATTAAGCTTTGAATTCTTAAATCGTTTGAAATAAATGAATATACATATACACAAAAAAAGAAATATACATTGTGCACAATAAATATTTTTAGGTTAAGTGTCCTTTAATTAATTAATTTATAATGTAAATAACTTCAAGTAAATTATTAATATATTTTATTATTCGAAGAAACTTTCAATCACGTTACTGCAGAAACGCTTAACCTCAAAATCATAAATGTTCGATAGGACATGTAATAAGTATTTATATAAAAATAAAAAATAAATCAATATATTATTAAATTTACCTCTTTAACCACCGGATCATCATCGCTATCCGTCATATTTAAATTCGACATTTTTAATATATTTTATTATAGATTTTTAAGAGAGTGAAAAACCCCCAAAATTCTCCAAACACGTTGCAGGACTAAAACCGTAAAATCAGTATTTGCACGCGTTCACGTTTGAAGATCAGATGACCGAGATAGAAAATTATCTCTAGATAAAAGTAGAGACCTTTAATCACTGCTACCAACAGTACGAGAAACGTTGTACGTATTAATATTATAAATTATTCTCTTTAGTCGTTTTTAGTATCCTATATTCTTCTCCATCGTAGAAATAAAATTATTTAAAACTTAACAATGGATGGTGTACAGTTTTATATATTACAATAATAAACATAGTTAAAAAAAAATTATGTATTATTGTTAATATAAAATTCAACTTTGATACTCATATGATTCATAATTGTTATCTGAAATAAATAGTTCACATAAATGATAATAGTTTACATAAATGATAAATTTAGTATAATCTATTAATTTTATTATCACACTGTTTAGTACAATTTATTATTCAGCAAAATGACTTCGATGTTCTATCAATACGAACAAGCATCTCAAAGATCTAAACAAGTGGTCCCTCCACCAATTCGAACAGATATTGTAAGTTTACATTTATTTTATTGTCTAAGTTTAACGCTATTTTTCTTATATTAATAGATAATATTGTTACAGAGTACGGCTGGATTCATTCAAATGAAATTACAAGATGACAGTCCGATATTCACTAAACAAAAAATCATTTTTTCACCTTCAGATAAAATTATTCATTTAGTAGTCAGTAGTAATTTAATTGTAATAGCTATGGCTAATAATGTTCTTCTTCGTATTGATATGAAACAACCTGATAAAGTAGAAGGTATTGTGTTTATAAAAATATATAATTCTAATTAATTAATTTTAATTTCTAAAAGACTATTTATATGTTTGCAGAAATTGACATTTCCAAATACGCGGTAGGAATGAAAATATCCAATTTATTTTTAGATCCTTTAGGCTACCATTTGCTAATAACATTAACATCAAAGAATGGAGATAATCCTCCACCAGAATTATTATATTTACATAGGAAGACCACAAAATTAAAACAAGTATGCTGAGATACAAATCTATTGTGTCACCGTACATCAATAATTTAATATGAAACGTTATGCTTTTACTTTCTTATTTTTAGGCTGGAAAGTTCAAAGGTCATGAAATTACAGCAGTAGGATGGAACTTTTCGAATACTTCAGAGACAGTAACTGGACCAATTCTTTTGGGCACTTCGAAAGGTTTAATTTTTGAAACGGAGATTAGCGATGGAGATAAAATATTTAATACGAGCTTGGAACAATATTGGCGGCAGGTAAATTTGCAAAGCCTTACGTTATTCTAATAATATCATTAGTACAATAGATTAACATAACATTATAGTTCATTGGTTTGTTTTATTCCTTAATTCATTATTTCCAAAGCTTCCTAACTATTTACCTCTTTACGGTGCTAAGGAGGTAGAAGGATTGGTGAGTGGGAAATAACTTATTTTAGCATATCAATGGTGTGTCTGTTCATTGAAGCTATAACAATCATATTTGATATTAATAAAGCGAATAAAATATTATTTTATTATTAGACTTTGATTTTTCTAGGTATTTGATATAGGAAAGAATAGTAAACCTCCAATTACTGGTTTAGAATTTCATAAATTACCTAACTCTGATAAATATATGATTATTGTGACTACCGTTATGCGTATTTATCAATACATTGGATCTGTACAAAATCCTGATGAAAAGCCATTATTACAACAAGTATTTAACAAATATTTAAATATACAAGGTAAGTAAATACTGAAATTATTTTTTGTATGTCAAATGAAAATATTTTTGCTAATAATTAATTTTATTTGTGTAGAAAGTTTCATTGAAATGATAAGCTCATTAACTTATTCAAAATTACAATTTTTCTATCCATCGCTTGGTGCATTACCAAAGTCATTTGGCTGGTTGACCGAGACAGGTATATTGTATGCATATGTAAGTAATTAATTTGTTACAAATTGATGTAAATTATATAATTTGAAAAATAATAAAACATTTAATCTTATTTTTTTCTATATTAGATAGATCCAAATTTATCAGATCCAAAAAGTGTATTGGTAAAGCAACAGATGATAACATGTCCTGAAACGAGTCTCATGGGAAACAACATATCTTATATCAATACTATACCACTCTCTTTTGTATTAACAGAATTCCATGCTCTATTACTTTATCCAGATCGTGTGAAGGGCATATCGTTATTAAATCAAGATCTTATTTTCGAAGATATATATAATGATGTATATATGATTAATTTTTGCATTATATCATACATTATTTATATATGTGTATGTATATATATATATAATATTATATATTTTCTATTTTAATAATATATTTTAATGTAGACAGTTGAAAAGTTACTCAATATTGTGAAAGATCCGGTAAACCGCAGTATTTGGGCATACAGTGAAAGAGCAGTCTTCAAATATAAAGTAACCAAAGAAGATAGAAATGTTTGGCAGGTATATATTTTTTTCTATTAATAATTAATAGTTAATGAATACACACACACATTGTATAAAGAACAATTATATTTTTTCTAGGTTTATCTAGACAAAGAAGAATTCGAATTAGCTAAACAATATTGTAAAGATAATCCAGCATACATCGATCAAGTACTAGTGAAACAAGCAGAAATGTTATTTAAAAATAAACAGTAAGTAGATTCGAACTGTTTTTCGTTATTTATTTATTAATACTTATCTAATAATGTTATATTTTGTTTTTAGATACGAGGAAAGCGCTTTAACGTACGCAGACACTCACTCATCTTTCGAAGAAATTTCTTTGAAATTTTTACAAGAGTGGCAAATAGAAGCTTTGAAAATATTTTTAAAAAAGGTAATCATAAATTTCATTTTATTTACATTTTTTTATTTCATAGGTATACAAATTTATTAATAATTTATTTTGTATAATTTTCTTTTAGAAACTTGATGGTTTGAAATCACAGGATAAGACTCAAATAACCATGATCGTTGTGTGGGTAATAGAATTATTTATGAATCAAATGGGAGAAGTAAGAAGCAAGGATAATTCATATACACATAATCCTCAGTACATAGCATTGCAAAAACAATTTGACAGTTTCCTCTCTATGCATAAAGTTGAGGTATGTTATTATTTTTGTTTGAAATCTATAAAAATAAATAGTTATCTATATGCTATCTACAAAAGATAATTAATTTATCCTTTCTTTTTCTTTATACAGGAGTGTATAAAGAAAAATCGTAAAATAATTTATGAATTAATGTCAAGTCATGGTGATAAAGAAAATCTAATGCGTTTAACAATAATGCATAGTAATTATGAAGAAGTAATACGACAACATTTATATAAAAATAATTACTTAGAAGCACTAGAGGTATTAAAAAATCAAACTAACAAAGATTTATTTTATCAATTTTCTGGTACGTTGCTTCAAGAATTGCCACGTCCTACCGTAACTGCTCTAATTTCGCAAGGATCTTTATTGAAACCGTCAAAATTGCTTCCGGCTTTAGTATCTTGTAATAGCGACGAAAAACATGTAAGAGGCTTTCAAAAATATCTAAATAATATTCTTTAACATATTATATTAATATTTTCTACTTGCATTGTGCATAGGCTAAAGAGATCATCAGATATTTAGAATTTTGTGTTTATAAACAAAGTTGTCAGGAGCAAGCAATACATAATTTTTTACTTTCACTCTACGCTCGTTATAAAGAAGAAGAAGTTATGCATTATATTAGTTCGCAGGGTAAGTAATTATTATATTATTTTCATACTTTGTTCTTTTATAGCATAATCATATTTTCTTTAAGGCCAGTATATCGGTATGGTACATTACGATGTACATTATGCCTTAAAACTGTGCCAGGAGGCTGGTTTAACAGAGGCATGTGTACAGTTATCAGCTTTGCTTGGTTTGTGGACAACGGCAGTAGATTTAGCATTGACGATTAAAGTCGATCTTGCCAAACAAATTGCAGCAATGCCCTCCGAACGTGACGATGCTTTACGTAAAAAATTATGGTTAAAAATAGGTGATATATAAATTATTTCTTATTTTTTATCGCATTGTTTATTGAAGGAACAGTAGTTTTCATTCTTATTTATTTTCTTTTTAGCTGAACATGTAGTACGTGAAAAGAACGATATACAACAAGTAATGGAATTTTTACAACAATGCGATTTAGTTAGGATAGAAGATATTTTACCATTCTTTTCAGATTTTGTTACGATAGATCATTTTAAGGATGCCATTTGTAAATCCTTGCAGGTAAATAAATAGAATAGAATAATAATTAATATATGCATACATTTTAAAAATGTTATTATTATTATTATTCAAATAGGATTATAATCGGCATATTCAAGATCTAAAAGAAGAAATGGAAGAAGCAACGAAAGCAGCTGAAGTTATTAGAAAAGATATACAAACTTTTAGAACCAGGTATATTTTATGTTACACATCAATATAATATAAATACTTTTAAAAGAATATTAAAAATACAAGTATACAGTTATAACTGTAATTTTACAGGTGCACTTTCGTAGATGCGAGAGATACATGCAATTCTTGCGACGTCCAACTATTATTAAGGCCTTTTTATGTATTTCCTTGTGGTCATAGATTTCATAGTGACTGTTTAGTTGCTGCGTTAACGCCTATGTTATCAATGGATCAACGAACAAAACTTGCTGATCTTCAACGTCAACTTACAGTTATTTCAAATAGATCTGAAAATACAGCGGCAGCTAGATTGGCACCTTTACCTGTTAAGGACCAAATTAAAGCTGATATCGATGAATTGGTAGCTTCGGAATGTTTATATTGCGGAGAACTAATGATAGAGTAAGTTATTCTTTGGTAAATTATAAAATATTGTCTATTTGTTTATTTATAATTCTACAATCAACTTTTCTTAAATATTATATTTCAGATCAATCGATAAACCATTTATAGAAGAAGAAGATTATGAAAGAGTAATGAGAGAATGGGCATAAATACAAAGTGGAGGTATAGTAAAATGTTTAATAAAATACGTAATAAAAATATAAACGATGATGTTCGCTTTGTTTAAATATTATTGTCTATTCGTAATTTATACACCGAAATAAGTCACTATTTTTAAAGCATTTTATTTTTATTTATATAAAAATGATATATTATGAAAAAATACATGAAATATTATATGGTTTTTAATCCAATCTGCAATTTATTTATATTCTACAGTTTTGTTTCTTTCTGTCCAGGAATAAATTAATAAATGTGTATAAAAATTCAATTTTTCTCTGTACTCTTAATCCAAGTACTTTTTAATAACAAACATGCAAGAGAGACAAATTACATACTTAAATAATAATAATATCATATTTTTCATATAGTAATTATCAATTTTTTAGGTGTTTATTATTAACGCTTCCGCTTTTTTGTCACGTTTGCTGACAGATTTATTACCATAAATATAATAACGTAAGGGTTTGCTTGACCATTCAGGACCACAACTATCAATACCTATTCTTGCGCATTGAATAATTTTTATTTTTTCTTGATACGAATCATCTTCTATCCAAAGACTTTTCCATTCACAGAGTGAATATTTATTATGATTTTTTTGTAATTGGAAAGACATACAAAGTTTTGAAGGTCCATTACAGAGTTCGTGTACTTTGAGATCTTTGATAGTTCCTTTCGACATATTTGATTTTTTTTTCAAGATTCGTTGACTAGTCATATATTCCATACCTTCTAAAGGGTCGAGAGCTCTTATCAATACAGCACTTCCATCACCTAAAATCTTAAAGTTTATGTGTTAGCTTTGTACTCTTTATTACATTTGCTAATATTAGCATTTTCTAATATATAATAATGAAATAATTTAGTCGGTTGTTCGTCTACTAAATTTTCAACATTTACAAGTGGTACTCTGACAATCGTAGTGGATTTTTCATAAGGATCACTTTCGATCCATAAATAATTACAATTATAAATTAGTTTTTTATTAAATTCATCTTCTTCGATAACGAATGACGTACAAATTTTAAACGAGTTATTGCAAAGATCAGTCGTTTTAAATTTTTTAACATCCTTTGTTATTTCTTTTTCCTTTTTGTTTTCTTTAACACGCATATTTTGAAGCAATTCCATATACTCAAGACCAATTAAAGGTTCCACAGCTTTGATTAATACATAAGTATTGGATTCTAAATTATTTATTTAAAATAGTCTTTGAAAAAATAATTATTTATATATAATAAAAATTCTTAACTCACCCTTACTAGATATGTTGAAGCAATAATACATGCCATAAGTCATGTATATGTAAATCGTGCCAGGTGACATGTACATTGGTATGTTGCGAGGCGTAACTTTGTTTTGATATGAATGAGAAGCTTTATCAATTTTACCTAAGTAACCTTCTGTTTCCACAATTCTACCTTTTAAAATCGTTCCATTTTCTAACCGACGAACAAGTACTTTTCCTATTAAAATATAAAAATAATATTTTATATAAATATTTTAAAAATATACATATGCTTTTTTGTGCATGTAGACTAAATTTAATTACCTAAAAGATTTTGAGCAAGATCTTCGCAGGGTGTATCATAAAATTCAAATGGAAGACGAGACGAACATATTTCTTTTTCCCAAGGTGTAACGGGTGGATCCTCTAATTGTTTTAATTCATCTTTCATCATTTCTAAATCAACTACAGCTCTTATTTTTTTTCTTGTTACATTTTTATCCGCATCAGATATTTCTATGATTTCTTTCTTTCCTACAAAGATTTTTTATCAGTACAAAAAAGAGAATAATTTTAATATCAATAATATTTGTATTCGATTATACCCTCAAAATCTTTTAATTTAATAGTTTCTAATGATTTATCGTTTTTATTTCGTAATACTTTTAAATTTATTTTAGATTTTTTAATTTGTTTATCCTTTGATTGAAGTAACTTCTAAAAAGAATTATATATAATTATAAATGAAAAAAAATAGATCAACAGATATTTTCTAATTCAAATTTATACAGAAAATTCTACCTGTTTCGTTTCTGCAACCATAATTGTTTCAGAAGTATTATTTTCATTAGGATTAATTTTATTATTAACAGAATGAATCGTTTTGGTTCTTTTCATTGAGGAATTGTTAAATGTAGAACTAGATATTTTACGATCGATGATTCTTACTTTTGTATATTCTATTGAAAAATAATTCTGTTAAAAATATTAAATAATCATTTTATAGAATATGTTATGATAATTAACCATTAAATTTGATTGCTCGATACAAGAATATGTTCGAAGTTGAGCAAGAGAGAAGATAAACGTCAAATGTCAGTGGTACCACCATTAAATTTAAAATCAAATAAATCGAGATGTATATCTCAAGATAATTTTATTTAAATATCTACAATTAGATATATTTTCGTTGTGGCGGTAAAAGTGAAAAGGAGAGGTCATAAATAGTTTTGATATTATTAAGATCAACGCTATGCAGATTTGTTGTTTGTTTTTATTTACATTGATTTAGTATAATATTGTAATAAAATTATACGTACGATTTTGGACTGTATTTAACGTTTTATAATTAATAAAACGTTGGAAAATTTTATTCATCGACGACATGTACCTATATTCGTAATATTCTACGATATTTATCAAAATGATCGGCAAACTTTTGTTAGGTTATGTATAAAGAAATGTTTCTCAAACTTGTTTTTTCATCCAATTTCAAGAACGTAAGAGAGAATATTTGTATTTCAAATGTCTCAAAAAAAGAAAATCGTGTCGGATACTAGTTCGCATAGATATTTAAAGGAATAATAGTAATAAAGTAGAACTACAAGAGAAACAAATGATTTAATTTAATTTAAATGGAAACATGTTTAATCTACATTTTTTTCAAAATTCAGAAGTAAGAAATTATTTTTCTAATAGAATATTTGATTAATTTGGCCACTAATTAATATTGGAATTTAGGATTAAAAAGAAATTCACTTAGAAATATAAAATATTAAATATTTTCAATAAAAAATATTAGTTATTAATCTAAAGAAATATTAAAAATGCTAATACTACTTATTGGCCTATCAAATACTTACACATATATAAAAATAATCAAAAAGAATTATTTTTATTCAAATAATAATTAAAATAAAATAAAAACTACTTGGTAATGGGTCGAAGGGATAAAACTTTGAATATTACCGCGGCTATGCAGCTCTCGAGTTTTAACAATTATCCGACAGAGGTTACTTCAATAGATCGTTACCAGGAGAATTCCCTCGTAAGGGAATACATGACGTCACATTATCCCCACTGCCACTCTATGTCATTATCACATGACATGAGTCATGTTTTACGACACGTAATTAAGTTTCTAATTTAATTTAATTACGAATACTAATATTTTTCCTCGCTATTATTTAATATTTTTTCTTTTTTTCTTTGATCTGGTAACGCAGATTTGATAAATTGTACCAGAATATGTATGCTAAGTAAAACAAATCTGATATTTTTCTGAACAAATAATTTGGCGGGTCTTCAACAAATCAATAATTGCATTATCATCGAGGATAGATAAAAAGCAAATTTTATTAAAATCTAATTCAGAAGCACTGTTAGATTGCAGTTTAGTCATATACAAACAAATTTCTAATCTGATCGTCAAAAGTTACACAAAGATTATGAGATTTATTAAATTGTTTGCTTCATTAATTACACTGCAAACATAAAAGTAATAAATATAATTGACACGTTTCTTCGAATTTGACAGAATTTTCTCTTCTCTTTCTTTGTTTTTCTATATTTCAAGCGAAGTTAATTTATCTAGGTTAAACATTACATATATGTATTTGTATATATTTGCATAAACATTGATTTTTCATTTTACATTATCATTCGTCGATGATGCTCAATGCTCAATGCTTTTCTTTATCTGACTTTTAAGCTTCACGGAAATCGTATTGTCCTTTATCAAAGCTTGACCGACATTCCTTCCAATAATGCGGAACCATGCTTGAATTAATTTGAATTGACCACATATATGCAGTATCAAGGTCATCACAGTGGCGTCCAAACCGGTGATTCCGGTACAACAGATAACCGATGCCAGAATTCGACATATAAAGTCAATCTCAAAGCTCGAAGATTACAAAGTATTTGGCTCATACTTGATTTGAAAATATTACCCCACATCTATTTATAAATACTTAATAACAATTATAGTAATAATAATAAAAATAAAAATAATAATCTTCCTTTTGTTTTATGATAGATTAAAAAAGGACTGACAAGGTAAATTCTATTGCATCAAAAGATACTTTTAAAAATCGATAAACAATTAGGTTGATTAAAAATGAATGTTGGAAAATTTACTTGTTTGTATATTTAAATTAATAATCCTAGTATTTTTTATTTACACACATATTTAACTAGATACCTGGATGGGTTAAAAAGTTTTGATCCTCAACAACAACAAAATTAATAATATTTTATTTTATTTTCGTTTGTAAATAAAAGTTTTCATGTTAGACTAAAACAATTGTTTCTTGATCAACCTAATATTACTATCAGATTTTTTACAGCATATGATAATTCATTTGTTTTGTTACCTTTCGAGAGATCTTCTTTACTTAAAAACACGTAAGACTTGTTTTATTCGAAATAACTTCCCCTATCACCCAATATTGGTTCATAACTTTCGTGACACCCTTTATACACATACATATCGATTTACATATTTTCGTATCATTTCATAGTAAAATCGTTTAAACAAATCTAGTCGAAACTTACCTGTCAATACTTCAAGGTTTTTCCAATTCACTATTATCGTTAAAATCTCTGATACGAGAACACTGCTGACAGCTGTCAAAGTAACCAACACGCGAAAATAAGCGAAAGACTTTTTCCATCATGATACTTTTGTAACGTTTTTTTTTTTCTTCCCTATCTTTCTCTCTCTCTTTCTCTCTCTTCTCGATCGGCTATATTCTATGCTCTATTTATATTGCATAATATCTTATTGGGAAGTATTCGATATAATAATCAATCGTTTTACGTTCTTGACCGTTCGCCTTTTTATTACCATCTTGAATTTATTCTTTTTCTATTTTTCCTTCAATTAACGTTAGACGAAGGTAGTTCTTATCGATGACAGAAAGACGAGTCTCTCGTGTAATATCAGTACTGAGAATCTCTAAATGGATTTAAAAGGAAATGACAGGATATTTGAGAAGTAAGGAATACAAACGAGCTACTGTTGCTGCTGTTGCTGCCTTTTGTGTTTCCTTTATCAATCGGTGTTGTTTTGTAATATTTATAATTCCACTTTGTTCGACCACTTGTTTATTCCCTTCGTCCTTTTTCTCTTTCTTTTTTGCACCATTCACTTATCCCTTTTTTTCTCTGTCTGTCTCTCTCTCTCTCTCTCTCTCTCTCCCTCTCTTTCTATTCTTTTCTTTCTTTCATTAAACGAACTGATGTGAAGAAACATAAAATATAGAGTACCGATACTGTTATCGGCCATTCGACTTGTACTTCATTAATATTTAACGAAAGACTCGAAAGAAAGAATATAAAGAGAATACCATATTATTTTTATCTTTTTCTCTTTTTATCTATTTATCTTTTTATCTCCTGCTTGAATTATATCGTCTTTGTGCTATACTTTGTCGTATGATCGTGACAATATATCGTGACTAACATAAGAGAAACGAGGATATGATGTTGTATTAAGAGTTAGTTATTCGAGACGACATTTTTCTTTCTTTCTCTTTCTCTTTCTCTCTTTCTCTCTATCTATCTACCTCTTTCTTGTTTTTTTCTTTCTTTCTCAACAAAGGTATAACATTAGTTTGCAAAAGCATTCAAAAATGAAAATGAAAAAAATATTCATGTAACATTATCCCTGAACGTAATATTAACGCGAAGAAACTTTTTTTTCTCCACCCCCCACCATTATGCGAAGAAACTTTTTCCCCGCCCTAATTAAAAATTCAATCACGATAACATTTCTCAAAGGCAAAAACTTTTCGCGATAAGCGATCGTTCGTTTGTCATATGACTAATTCATTGTTGATAAAGCTATTATAGAAAGATTTAACAAATGAAATTTACGTTCTTTACACTTTGAGGTTGATTAAGATTACCAGAGAAAACTGGATATTACTAGGGTTAATAATAACGTTTAAATTTAGATTGTTTGATTTTTGTTTAACAAAAAATAAGTATAAAAAGGATGATTTAGGAGACATACAATTAGTTAATTAGATAGCATGAGTTTGTTTAATATTGTTATATTTAAATATCATTATATTTAGATTTCTTAAAATTAATATTATCATTATTATAATTATTATCTACGGTCAGTGTTGCGACAGTCTTTTGTTTATATGTAGAGTATCACATTATTATATAAATTATAATTAAATTCTTAATTAAATTTATTACATTAATTATTGATGACTTTAGAAATATGTTTGCGAGAGTATTAACAAAAAGTATATTTTCCCCATACCTGATTTTCGTCATTAAAAATTTCTTTGACGAGCAATACCTCAAATTAGCATAAATGTTAATTAGTGATTTTTGGCTGAACATAGATGATATATTTTAAATAAATTTATTACTGTTGAAAGAACGCTTCGACGTTTTATTTTTTAATGGACTTTTGAATTTGAAGAAGACTCTTCCCTTTAGTTTCCGGTATAAAATAATAAACGTAAGGAACACATGATAAGACGATAAAACCGAAAGACCAGAATACGAATTTTTCCCCAATTAGGTCAATAAAAGGTTGAAAACTTTTCGTTGAGATGAAGGATAGCATTGCGTTTCCACATCCTAATAGAAGAGAAGCTAAGGTTTTCAAATCTGCGGGGAACATTTCTCCTAAAAGTGCACCTGGCACCGTCACGAAGCCACAAGCTAAGAAAATATTATAACATAGCATTGAAGTGAGTGGTAGCCACTCGAGGATTGACGATTCGATGCCAATCGACAAGATGTGGAAATGTAGACCAAGCAATCCGAGAGATATAGCAACTCCAAGACCTGATATCATTAACAAAGATCTTCTGCCAAATCTGTCTACCATCACAGTTGCACTAGTTCCAGCTACAATCGTAGCAAATCCTAAAATCATGACAACCACGCTAGCCGTAAGATTCATGCCAGATTTAATTACGATTATTTCAGCATAGGCGTTAATTGTTGCGTATCCACTTGCGTGAACGAATACGTTCAAAATGAACAAGATTATGACTTTCTTCAAATTACCTATGAACAAACGGACACGATAATTATTAGTCGTCCTGTTATCAAATTAATATATAGGATAACTGTGTCTCTAATATGGCAAATAAATAACGTAAACTATCGATAACTAAAGCACAACAAATGAATACAATATAAAACAAATTTTACAAATCAAAAGATATTTTTTCATTTGAATATTAATATTCATTTTTTATAGTACAAATAAAGTGTTTTGCCTACAAATTTCCTTGGAGTTCTATCTTAGCTACCGTATTTTTTTATTATTTTACATTTTTTCCTATAATTTTAAGACACTTAAGCTTCTACAAAATTAACGAAAATTTGGTCATTTTTTAAAATGAAGTGTTCCATATTAAATTTAGTTACCATATATATATATATTTATTTTTGTTCAATATATATACCACGGGGTTATATATATAATAAATAATAGATATACCTGGAAGTATGAATGCTTTAAGTCTCATGATAATACTGCTTTCAGCACCATCGACGAAATCCTGAAGCTCTCGCATCTCAGCCTTCACGTCAGCTTCTCGTCGGAACCACTTCAAAGATGCCTCTGCTTTGTCGATATCTCCGTGGAGGACGTAATGGTACGGTGATTCGGGTATCAGGGATACGAGAGCCATGAAGAGGATATTCGGTACGAGGCTCACGTAAGCGAACATCTCCATGGACAGATAAGGACCCATCACGTTGCCCAAGAACATACCCACGGACGCTGCGTTTACGTTCATGGATATCTGAAGGCGTGACCTCGGTTAAGATCTTCTCTTTTGTGAAAAGGCTAAGCTGAGTAGCTTTAGGGTATCTTACGTTCACAAGAAATTACGTATATCTATATACACATATATATATATGTGTGTGTATGTAGTAAGTATCGATTCGATATTTATGCTGATACGTGTATATGAATTTTCAAGTTAATTTTCGAATTATGAGAATCAATAACAGTATAATATTATCTTCTCTGTATATAGGAATTTTGAATAAATTGAAGAGGATAGATAAAGAAATAAATCGAATATTTTTGTAGGAATTAAATAAGAAGATATAGAATATTACCAAAGCTCCACGAATTTTGGGATCAGCGATCTCTCCTAGGTACAAAACGAGGGATAACCAGACCATGCCTGATCCAATTCCAGAACAGAATCTCGATATGTAGAGCCACGTAACTGACGTTGCGCATATACTGAATACCCAACTCAAGGCCAATGGTAGACCACCGATGACAAGCTGTTTCTTTCGTCCAACATACTCTGAAGATCGTGTCGTGACACACGCATTACAGATATGTCATCCTGAGAACAAGATCACCACAACTCAGAACACTCTCTTCCTGTCCTTTCATCAGGATTATTCACTCGGTTCGATCGATGTTCCATTTATTTTTCTTTCATTTTTTCTTTCCTCCTTCCAAAGAGTTAATTCGAATGTAGATCTTTTTGTTTCTACATATCGCCACTTTATCGTACAATTCGATAATTGCTGAGTCGTGGCTGGCTTGTTCTTAGGTCGCGTATCGCGTTGTGCTCAAATTGTTCTGTTCGCCAATTGTTCAATCTGTTTTTTCATGCTGGAATAGAGGATCGGTTGAGTCAACTGAATCAAACTATTACGATTATATTTTGAATATTCTTCTTCCTCGTTATATCGTTTTTTTATTGTTTCTTCGAAATAATATTTGATATTAACATTTCTTGACAATCGGAGAAACTTTTTGGATTTTCAGCAAGAGGGGGTTGTCTCAACGAATCCTTATTCCGATTTCAATGAAACATTATTACCTTGAATTACCGCACCGATTAAAGCTCCGAAAACTCTACCAAGATTTAAGAGAGAAGCTACCCAAGACGCTTCGTTTTCCGTCAGTTTGGCAGATACGTCAGCTGTCGTTGATGTCAATTGTGCCAAGTATGGCGATGTCCAACCGTTTGCAAGACCACTTACGATCGGAGCTAAACTTACTGTTCAAAATATTAGCAAGAATTTTGTGTATGAAAGAATAAAAAATTTGTACCTGCACAAGCTGCTAACCATTGCGGCCAAATTATTATTTTTGGACGTTCCTGTTTCTCAGGATCCTTCGCGTCGGACATTCTTCGATCGTTGAATTTTCCAGTTAGCAGCAACAGAGGGTTGTAAAAGCACACGTATTGCGTGTGCCGTCAATGATTTCTAGACTGTCTTCCTATACCCTAATACACGGATCCTCCACACGAGGAAGGCGACAGGAGACAAGACGTGATGCATTTACTTTCCGATAAGACGATGACATATTTACTGTCGTCAAGACACGATTTGATTATTCATGAACGTTTCGCGTGTTTACATCTCAGATCGCGCGATCTATAAAAGGTGGTGTTATCTGAATGTATTTTCCACGACGCGTCGTCAGTTAATTTAAACTTTGTCATTGTCTCTTTATTTTTTGTTTTCTTATTTTTCATTTTTAACATAAGTCGAATCGTTGAAAAACATTAGCCACGTGTAATCATCTTACACATTTTCCTACAGATGATTGAAGATTATTGTAGAAATTTATCGCTGAAATATGTCGGATTTAATTGCCGATGTGACATCGAACGTTACGCGAGAGATGATTGTTATGACTTTATTACACTGATTAGAACGTAGTGAAAATAACATATTGTTTAACGTGGCTTTAAAATTTCTAATGAATATTTATTTTATCTTATCATTCGATATAGGACAAAATTGTTATTTCCGATAACTTCGTATACAACTTTGGAATAATTTTTCGTCACACCGTTTATATTTGCAATAAGTCATTTTTTCCTTCTTCCAACGATCTTCATCTTTTATATTATTTTTTCTTTATTATTGTTACGTCTTGACGTTTATAATTCGCGTGAAGATCTAACATTTAATATATGTTCGAGTTGACGGAGAAGGCAAAGAGAACACCAGAGAAACTTGAATATATTTCATACAATATGGAGAGACGCGAGATGAGAATGGAGAAACAGAAGGTTCCGCTTACAGAGTTGCGTGTTCGTGATCCTATGTCAGTTGTTGTGGAAAAACTTGGTGATAGAAGTGCACGCGTTTACGGTGACTTGAGGTCAAATATAACATGAATTTTGGTCAACAAATTATTCCGAGTCTGAGTACCGTTCTTAATATTTATTTTTCATTCTTAGCAAAGAAACTTTAAAGGAATTATTGATGTCATCTTTAATGCTGGTACCAAAAGATCAATCTAGCATTTCGGAATCTTTTCGAGATATGTTGGGTAAGTGTTTTTGAAGATTACGTATAAGGAATGATACCCTATAAAAATGTTTAACTTGTTCCTTTTTCTTGTTAGATCCTCGAAAAACAGCAAAACATCTTCGAGATCAGAGAAGATATAAGGTACATGTTTAATAATAAAAAAAAAAAAAAGAAACAAGTGGTTATACAACTACAAGTAGTTAAAAGAAATGACATCAGGAAAAAATGTTACGCATAATGCTCGCATAATATTTTCAGAAGAAAATTCGTAAGAGTATAAAAAAGCGAGACGATGTTACCTGGAACAGAGATAGTAGATGGGATCTTTACGATGAAGAGAGTACCAATGAAGAAATGAAGAGGAAGATAACAAAAGAAGTAGAAGTAGAAGAAGAAGAGGAAGAAGAAAAAGAAGAGGAAGAAGAAGAAGAAGAAGAAGACGAAGTAGAAACTTTACCGAGTTGTCCTAGCTCCCTCACGGAAGACTTAAACTTGTCCTATGATGGAAAATGGTTGAGAAAATACATGAAGATTCCTTTGAGAATGGCATTCAAAGAAATTGTTGCAAAAAAACCTTACGATCCGGTTGGCTATTTAGGCTTTTGGTTATTAAATTATAAAAAATCTTTGGAAGACAACAAACGACATTTGGAGTTAGAAGAAGAATTATATCGTTTACGATGTTTGATGATACAACCGGTACAAATAGATCCGCAATTAGGCTTGATTTATTACAAGATGTTAAGAAATGTAATTACGTTTCAGACACTGGAAGAAGAAGTGGAACAAGAGGTTCTCCAGATGACAACAGGTGAAGAAGGGGAAAACGTAGAAGTGGATTGGAATTTTCAACGTTACAATAATAATTAGAAACGAACATATAATCAATTTTATTGAAATTCATTAATTTTCTACAATAATTTTATCATGACAATTATATTAATAATAAACAATTTATTTTATATTCTTTTTTCTATGGTTATGTTAACGTAACATATACCATAATAACTATACAATAATATATATAATGTATTTATTTTAAAAAAAAGAAAGAAAACAAAAAAAAATTAACATTTCTAGGCAATACTAGTCTGCAATATTAGCGAACGGTCTTCTGCCGGACCATATACTGGAGACTACTCCTAGTACATTCGAGGGGTTTTCAAGGCATCAAAAAACTTACTATTGCGCCGATAGATGGTATTACGCTCGCGGAAGCTCAAGTTCGTTTATTTCCGATGCGAATCGAGCATCTTCGGCGACGGTTCGCGCTTCTCATGCGGGGGTGCGTTCAGTTCGAATCGCGCAGCCGCTCGTTCTATCTCGGTGACCGTTTCATCGAAAAGCGTTGAAAAAAAAGGGGTAGAAAAGCGACGAACTAAAGAGGGCAGCAGGGAGAAGTAAAGTGAAAGGGGATAGAAGAGAAGAGAAAGAGAGAGAGAGAGAGAGAGAGAGAGAGAGAGAAAGAGAAAGGGAGAGAGACAAACGATAAATAGATAGATAGATAGACGGATAGATAAATAAATAGATAAATAGATCGATAGATAGATGGATAGATAGATAGGTAAATAGATAGGTAAATAGATTAGGTAGATAGAAAAAGAGGGAGAAAAAAAAGAGAAAAAAAAGAGAAAAAAAAAGAGAGATAGAAAGAATAGGATAAGAATTTATTGGAAAGATTGGAGTCGCGATCGCGTCGCGAGAGGATGAAGTTTCCTCGATGGCGCGCGATCGCGGCACGGTGGATGATAGAAAAGTACAGAAAGTGCTGCTTGGTTGGACGCGTGTCGAAGGAGGAAAAGGAGGAAGAGAAAGAAGAGGGTAGCGGTTGAGGTGGTGGTGGTGGTAGTGGGTGCCCCCTCTCGTTATTGACGCGAGGGTTGGCCGAAAACGGCGGCCATGTCGGTCGAGAGGTTCGCGTTGTGATCGCCGGATGGCGCTGGTTCCGTCCTTGCTTCCGTTGTCGCGGTCCACCCTGCCTGCGCTGGAATGCCCTCGAGGAGGAGGAGGAGACCGTCGAGCTTTTCTACGGGGCCTTTTCGCGTCGCGATCAGGTGACTACCTCCTAGTCCAACACCATATCCGGTTGTTTCGTCGTTTCCGCGTTCTACCCGCGTCTCATTTATCGCGTTTATCAGCCGGACGTGTCACAGTGTCAAAGGGTGAAAAGGGTGAAAAGTAAGAGAGGAAAGAACTCACGCACTATGAGTTGGAAAGCGAAGGATAGGGATGAAGTGAGGGGGTAGATAGTGCAAAGTAGGGTGACAGTAGAAGAAAAAGGAGAACGAGAAGAAGAAGAAAGCAAAATAAATAGATAGATAGATAGAGAGAGAGAGAGAGAGAGAGAGAGAAAGTGAATTAGTGAGGGGAAGAAAGAATAATCAAATAAACGGGTGGTCCATTTTCAAACGCGAAAGAGAATCGAGGTGATAGTTGTGCGGTGCTGTGTCTTCTTGTTGTGACCTCGAAGCTCGTGAACTATTTTTCTCGGACTCGAGCAACGCCCGAGTTATCGTGACGACGAAAGATCTATTTCCTAATCTTTTATGAAAAGAAACAAGATGAAAAGTTACTTATAGAAAGAGAGAGAGAGAGAGAGAGAAATAGAGTAAGTAAGATAGAAAAAAGAAGAGAGAAAAAGAGAGATAGATATAACGACACAGCATATGAGCAAGGGTAGAGAGTGAGAGAGAGAGAGTGAGAGAGAGAGAGAGAGAGAGAGAGAGGGAGGTCGCAGCGACCGAGTTAAAGCGCGAACGCGGAACACGGGAGTGTCGTCCACCATTTTGGGTGCGCGAGGTTATTCGATGCATGCATGGATACATCGTTCAAGAAGGGACCTCATAGTCCTTCCTTATTGGCAAACAATGAAAATCAGCAAATAGAAATGGTGCGTTGATGAGGGGGCTCGAGGGTGGTAGATGGTGATGTAGCTATGGAAATCAAGGATCCAGGTGTCGTGTCATGAGTTCGAACGGACGGAGAAGGTGGTGCTGGTGGTTGATTATTCTGTGCTTTCGTGTTTGTGCTACATAAGGTACTATAAATTGTTCGTGTTTTATTATTTGACGATTAAACGAACGCAAAAAGAAATATAAAAAAAAGAAAAGAAAGAAACAGTAAGCACAGATGGAAGGAAAGAAGGAAGAAGTAACAAATTGAAGATAAATCGAAATACGCGGGCATTTGTTATCGGTCAGAGGTGTGCCAAACTCGTGATCGTTCGAATTCGCGAGTTTTCGTGTATCCAGATCGTGCGTTGTTCGGACAGGTGGACTGGGTGCACGCATCTTGAGCAGGAGGAAGAGGGAGAGAGAGAAATAAAAGGAAAGAAAAAGAGAGAGAAAGAGAGAAAGAAAGAAAGTGAAGACGCGACACTAGACGCTTGGTCTTTCGATGATCGTAAAGACTGATGCCGAAGGAGGAGGAGGGTGAAGAAGAAAACGAAGATAAATGAGCACGACGCAACGACGACAACGACGGGGAGAGGAGTACGCTCGCTCGATTGCAAAGCTACCGAAAGCTAGAATAACGGGTGAGAGCGGGGAGGAGGTTCGTTAGAAGATTCGACTACGATTTAGCGATAATGTTACGCGCGTTAAATCGGCTCGGCCGTGAGCTTAAATGATATGCATATGCATCTATATTACGTGAAAGAGGGTGAGTCTATCGTCAAGGAAGATATGAAAGTGCGCGACAAGTGAAATATTATTTTTCCTATATTAATATAGTTTTATTTATTATATCGTTAACTCGTGTCTGATTATATTCGTTCCGTGTTTATTTCGACTACGCGCGTTTTCCTCTCTCTGTCTGCCTGTGTGTCTTTCTTTCTCTCTCTCTCTCTCTCTCTCTCTCCTCCTTTTCCTCTCTCTCTCTCTCTCTCTCTCTCTCTCACTCACTCACTCACTCACTCACTTAATTTCTTTCTCTTCCTCGTCGAACGCAGTGATACCAAAAAAGGTTTTCATCCTCGCAGTTAATGTTTTCGTTGCTGGTGTGCTGTTTCCGGTGTAACCTTCAAAACGATGGTTATATTAATAATACATCATCGTCGTCGTTTTTGATTGAAAAGTAAAGATAAATAAATAAACAAATTGTTCAAATCGGAACTTATCGGAACGTATCGGAAGGAACGAAGACGTAAAGTGTTTTCGTCATCGTTAGTTGTTTTCGGTAACTCGTCGTGTTCGGTCTCGCGTTCGACGAGTCTCTCTAAGTGAACGACTCTATTGTTGTTCCTTCACTTTCCTCGCGTTCGTTTTCTCATTAATTATATTATTATTGCAATAATATAATATATATTATTAATATATTTGAGTGCCGGGGGGTGGGGTGGGGGTGGATCTAACAGTGTGCGACAATTACGAGTGTGTTCATATTATTCCATGGTTAATATTATTATTATTATTTATATTGCCGTTCGACGTTGTTGCAAAGACACAAGGGATTACGCGCGTGGTCAACGCACGACGACGACGACGATTACAACGACGACGATTACACGAAAATTACGAAGACATCATTTTCTTCTCCATTAGACGTAAGTAAACACCATTTTTATATTTTAAATTTTGGTTTATTTTTCCCCATTAATATTTTCGATAACACACGACAATTTTAAAAATATTTCTGTTAGTTAATACTCGTTTTCTATTAATGATGATTGCAGTCGGCCTATAGTGAACTTTCCCAATTTACAAACGACGATTTATTTTTTAATAATTTCTTTAAAGTTTCGTTACTGTAAAACAGTATTTTAAATAATAATGATTTTTCATGAATACTTTATATTATTTTAAGAACTAAATTTAATTGATATATTGTTTCTCCGGTAAAGTATACTGATTTCGTGACTCGTACAGTGGAAACATATTGATGAAATAAATCAATTCATATCGCGAAAGGTTAAGTGAAATTTCTTTAACGAGAATTATTCAGTGATAAGATTTAACAGAAGTGTAGCGCAAATTTGACCGAAGTGAAACGAAAAAAATTGTAATGAATCTGCGTGGTTTTATTTTTCAGTTTATTTCTTTTTTATTAAGAAAGAATAAAAAATGAAAGAGAGAGAGAGAAAGAGAGAACATGAGAATAATTAAAAAAGTCTTACATTTTATCGTTTAATATCATCCGTTAGCAACACAATCAGTACTTTTATTGTTTTATTTTTGTATCCTTCTTTATTCTTTTTTTGTTACTCGTTCAATGAAAAAAGCGCGGGCATCCTCGGTAATTTATCTCAAGACGAATTTCTTATTAATTATATACGAAAGATATAGGTACAGAATAAAGAATGTCATCTAAAATTTAAAAAAAAAAATCAAATCAAACATATATTGAATTAATACACATATTTTTACGTATATTTACAAAAGTGTATATATCATAGTCATGCAAGAACGTAATCAATTTAATATTCAAATGCAAAGTCAAAAGTGGACTAGTCTAATGTGTATACCAGAAACAAATAATGTAGACTTTTAATGAATTATGTTGCTAATTATTACTGTTTTCGTGATATTCCTTCTTCTGTTACCTGTACTCTCTCTCTCTCTTCATATTTTAAAAATTAATTATTAATTACATTTTTGTGTTATTTTATTATTCTCTCTGACTATTTGAATCGAATGATTAAAAGGATTGAATATTTTTCGAAAATTTAATCTACGGTAAAAATGTGACTTCAATGGTTTTATTTTTCTCTTGTTGATGCATCACCTTTGTATAAATGCGAGCTCTATTTTTTATTATATTCCTCGAAATTACGTAAGAATTTCTATCAAAGTTGGGGAAACAAGCAATTATTAATTAGGACTTGTTACTGCTTTTAATATGAATGATTTACCTGTCGTTCCTGATATTTTAAAGATCTTTGATTTTGTGTAAGGAAAAATACAATCTTATTAAAAGAAATTGCCAATTAAATTTGTATATATTTTTTTTAATAACAATAAGAATTTTCAAAGTTTTATTTTAGATTATTTTAAACATATTGACTTGTTTTTATTAATTCTAGGATTGTAAATTAGTTCAAAGTTAGATTTATTCATTTTATTTATGTACATACATATGAGTAGAAATGAAATAATTTCTTTTCTTAATTTTTTCTTATTTTTTGAAAATATTTTTACATATATTTTTTATACCTAATAGTATCAAGCTTAACGTGTGCAATGTTAGAAATATTAATTTAGTTATGTATACACATACAAGTTTATTATATATAATTGTATATCCCAAAAAATAATTGAGTTTTTTTTCTATTTCATTATTTAATACCAAATATCGTAATTAATGTAAAAATATATGGAATTTAGTGTGTGAATAGGCTTCATCGAAGCACGAATTTAATGTGATTTCATTAATGGCCGTGAAATACCGAGATTTGTGGCTTTTCCAAATGGTCCGCAAGTATTACGGGATTTACGAAAGAGCTTTTCGAGTGCGAATTCAATTATATTATTACTCACTTTCCCTTTGTTTTTGTCATGTTAAATTCGCACATTTTCATTTTTTATTACATACATTTTATCCTTTGGTATGATATTGTATAATATTGGATAATTTTACAAATACTTTTTAATTTTGTATAAAAAGTTTAATTCATTTCATGTATTTTTTAAATATAAAATAAATTAATGAAAATTTATATTATTATTTTTAGTATATTATATGTTTGTTTAGATCTAAAAAATAATTAGGCTTTTATTAATTTCTTGAAAACAAAAATATGTTTAACGTTTACAATTTTTTTTGAGTTTAATTTGAAAAAAATTTAAATTGAGTTTAATTCGCAAGACATGACTTTGAAAATATTTTTTTTTTATTTGTTCTCTCTCTCTCTCTCTCTCTCTTCTTTATATTAATTGTCTTTCACACACTTCATCTTTTTTGTTCTCTTTGGTACTTTATTAAGATTTCTTTTGAAACTTCGCATTGCGCAGTACGTATCGAGTATATTGCAAGTTTAATGGGGAATCATCGAGTATGGAAAATTGGCCGAGTTCCAACATTCTATTCCACCACACTACTTTTCGGCCCTTTTTCATTTAGTTATTCGTACTTTCACGACTTCACAGTATCCATAGTATCAGTAATGTAGAGAAAGAATGAAATAAAGATAGAGAAGAAAGAGGAAGTCGTTTTCTCTTTCCAAGAACAAGAAAGAAGAAATAAAGAAAGATTTGTTTATTGAGTGAGTCAAACGTTCTCTTATTATTATGCAAATTATCTTTTTTATTTTCCAAGAGAAAGCAATATAATTTTTTTTTCTTCTTTTTTATATTAGGTTGCTGCAGAAATAATGATGATTTTTATTTTGCCACTATATATTTCAATAATTTGAACTCGTATGTCATGCTAGAAGTGAACAAAATAATCGTTTACTATTGCAACAATTTACTTACAAATAAGTGTTAGCAGAAATGTAATGACATTAGACAAAACTTAAGTTCGGAGGTTTAAATTTGGCGCCAATTTTTTTAATCACATTTTATTTTAGTATGATCGTGTATTAAATTATAAAATGAAAAAAGGGCCAGAATTAGGATAACTAAATTTTCCTTGTATTATTATATTTAGTATTATCGAATTTAAAAATTTAAATTAATCATTGAAAAAACGAAGGAAATAAATTGAATGACGTGACGAAACGAGACATAGATGTATTATTGAGTTACATCTGTAACATCTAAAATATGACCTTACATTGTGTTTCAAATATATAATATAATAGTATTATAAGTGCTTCTCTGTTAAACTAAGAATTCTGCTTAACAGAGAATTTATGTAACGTATAAGATAGCATATATAAAAAAATTGATCCAGTCTAAAAATAAAAAAGTAACTGAGCTTCTCGCAACAAAAGAAAAGGTACATTTAATCCAAATCCGTATTTGATGGATGACAAAAAAAAAAGAAAGAGAGAGAGGACGAATCGTTATGATATACATTTTTCTCAGTACTTTCGTTCTTCTCAACTAAATAAAATAAAGAAGAAAGAAAGAACAAAATATTTGTTAAAACGCGAGTTTTTTTTTTATAGTTTATGTAATATAAATTTCCGAGAACTCTTATGGGATATAGAAAAATAGGTATTTCAAAATAAATCGATAATTTTCACTATCGGATTTTTCTCTTTTCCTTTTTCTTATTTTCTTTTCATGGATCATAATATCGTAAGATATTATCGAAACTCTTTTGCCCTTTTCTTCGAAGGGGTTAATTCAATATTGATCAAAGTTCGAGTCTATACAAGAGATTACCAGAGAGATGAGAATGTTTATTATCGAGTAATCAAAGTGATCCTTACTGTATTGCGAATGTCGATTGAAAAAGTTTATTTTTTTTTAATCACAAAATTCAATTCTTTAATTTGTAAAATTCAAATAGAAAAACAAAAAATAAAAATTGACTTGGTAGCGAAATTTTGATCAACCAATTATCTTTCTCTCTCTTTATCCCGCTCTATTTTTCTATATGAATATTTTAATTAGAAAATTCAATTTTTCTGCTTGTAAAATTTCCAAAGGAAACAAGAAAAAATTTATACCATATTGGATCGCTTTTAGGAACATTTTTATTTATTATTTTATTTAATAATTTTAATAACAAAATTCCATTTTTTAACTTGCACAATTTATTGAAAGAAAACAAGAACAAAAAATTTACTCCACATTGGATTGAATTTAGTAGGATAATGTTCATTAACAAATTCTCTTTTTCCATCTCATATTCAACTTTCATTTCTATCCTAGATCACAATAGGATTTTTTTTCAAAAAAGAAAAAATAGGAAGGAAGAAATTTTTCAACAACGAGTTGCTAATCTGCGTCTATTCGCGGACCTAATTACGGTTCCCTCGATGTTTGTCTGACCCTCTCTGAATAGCGTTTACTACTAGGGAAATCCCAGAGCTCGATTGGATGACCTATTTCGACTTTATCTACTTTATGATCCTAACCTTCTCTCTCTCTCTCTTTCTTTCTTTTTTCCTTTTCGTTCATCTTTCTGTATTTTTTTCCTAGTTTTTTTTCTCTCTCGTTTTCTCTTACACGCATTTCTACGTGTGCTTAATATCGTGTATAATATTATATATATATATATATATCTTCTAATAAACAAGAATTCAACTACTTTAATAAATATTCGTATACTATATCTCTGATGAGGGTATAAGCAGAAGAAGAGTATAAGTTCGAAAGAAGGATTAGTCTTGCAGAGAAAAGCACTTATAATATTAAATATTTAAAGTCTAACGTAAGATAAGCTGTTAGATATTTGACGTGAGTATGTTGTAACATATGTATCGTTTTATTGCATTTAAAAAATGGTTTAGGTGTATGTATCATATAATATAAAGAATAAATAAAATGTGTAGAAGAATTTTGGAAATTTTGCATTACGAACAAATATAAATTCTACGTATACTTTAGTGATTTACTATGCGTATACACTGCGAATAACAATATGTAAAAATGAATTAGGTGGAAAAATGTTAAAGATAAAAATCCGTAACTGTCACGAATTGACAAGGATTGA